AAGCCTAGAAACCCTTTAAATAAGTTAAATTCGCGGCGAATAAATTCGCATCGAATCTAATTTCTCCCGCAAATTCGGCGAATCAGCCGAATCGAATTTTTGAATAATTCGCTCATCTCTAGTTCCGATGTTAAAAAGGGAGAATTCTTTAACTCTTCAATTCTTCATGTGATCAGTTGTGAACAGGCACCATAGAGAACAATCGAATTTTTAAGTTTGAGCTTTTTTGGAGCTTCGAGCTTCAAGCTACAAAACACTCAAGTGTGAATGCAGCCTAAGATTAAACCACTTCTTATCCAACTGCACTGTGTGTCTTCTTCAGGGACCTTATGTGTCTCTTCTCTATGGAGATTAAGTTTAACATTTGTAATCAATCCTCATAGCTGAGGTCCTCCAGCCCCTTTATTAGCTTTGCTGCCTTTTCAAAGACGTCTCTCCTGAAAACTAGTGACCAGAACTTGACGGCATATTCAAGATGTGTGCAAACCAGAGTTTTGTAACTTGTAGAATTATAGTTTTGTCTCTTCTTAATGCATGCTAATAGTTAGTTAGCTTTGCTAGTTACTCATTATTGATCATTTAGAGTATTTGGATGAGCAATTATCTGTTTTGTTAACCACCTCTTCATCCGCCATATAGTCTAATGACGGGCGCAAGGTGGTTCTCTCGTTCTGATAGGCCGTCTTTTGACGGCCTTCCATTCTCACCGCGCATGTGCAACTCAGGGAGCGCACAGCACGGCGATCGGCGGTGCTCTGTGTCCATCGGACACAGTGGATCACCGATCCATGGAAAGAGCCGAAGATGTCAGCTTGGTCATGTGATCAGCTGTGTCCAATCACAGCTGATCACATGTAAACAGGGAAATGCCGGTTATCGGCATTTCTCTCCTCTCGAGCTGTCACGCATTTTTTCATGTAACATCAGGATGGTCAAAGTAGGCTTAACCTTTCAGAAAAGGACAGAGGGTGATCTCCAAGCCTTGGCAATAACCTGTTGTATTATTACTGGTTTTAATAATAACTCAAGGGTTAAGGCTTACTTAAGGCTGTGAGGGGCAGGAGCAGACCGGCACGGAGCCTACTCACACTCCTGTAGCAGAAAATATAGGTCTAAAAAGGAGGGTCACACAGTGCTGGCATCATCCACAAGAAACTTTCTTGGAGACTGCTCTGACAAGGCATGGTTCTGCCATGGTGTTCTGTTTGAGCAGTCTCCAGTAAAGTTTCTTGTGGATGATACCAGTGTTGTGCAACCCTCCTTTTCAACTGGCATAGACTTGTATTATTTCCATAATAATTTTAAGCAGATGTCTAGAGCACCCTACCCCCCTTACATCAAATGTCAAGAGCCCCCCTCAGCCTTACATCACAGTGCACCCCCCTTAGCTTGTGCTGTTGCCGGGAAGAAGCTGGCAGCGGAGCTGCAGGTGATGTGCAAGGATCACATGAAATAGCCTGGAGGGCTGGATCTGGCCCATGGGCCTTGTGTTTTAATGTGTGTTAATATTTCCTGACTTAATGGAAGACGATAGTGATGCACTCTTACCTAAAACAGACATAACTGTATTTGTCAAAGGAATCTATTGTAATAGAAATAAGAGAGGTGTTATTGTTGATGCAATCAGGTGGTCAGAGGTTTACCAGAAATCTGGCAGTTGCTGGCAGTCAAATGCTTGACCCCACAAACTGAGGTTATTTACTAGAGTAGAGAAAATGTTTACTCAGCCTAGTAAATGGGGTGAAGCTCTGCTGACACGCAAGCAAAAATCCGGTTGATATTTACCTTGCATATGACTGGGTAATCTTTTCAAAATGAATTCTTACTTATCTTACCCTCATTCACTCAGCTAAGTGAAAATTTACTTAGTAAAGTGACCATGCTTTACTCTTTTAGTAAGTCAACGCCATTGTAGCTGATTTACTAAAGGACGAGAGCATGTTCACTTTGCTACAGAATCAAGTGCAAGCACAAATCCTGCAAAATAAACTTTCACCACGTTCACTATGGTAAGTGAGAAGCCCATTGCAAAGTGAACATGCTCTACTTCTTTGGCAACCCAGCTACATTGTCTCCCATCTTCAGCTGTATACGATCAGGCAGATGAATGAAACAACTGTCATACTGAATGGATCCTATGATCCGCTGACACCTGTGATTCTTGTGATCGGGGCAAGAAGTTAGCACCCCAGCTGAGGAAACAGCACACAGTGTCCAAATAGGGTGACAGCCAGGGGTGGACTGACCATTTAGGCACTCGGGCTCTGCCTGAGGGCCCAGGGTCAGTAGAGGGCCCCATGAGATGCCCCTGGTACCTTTCATTGGCTTCTTGGGTGTGGTTTGAGTGTGGGAAAGGATACAGCGGCCCCATGTTTTCCTATTGCCCGGGGGCCCCATGAGTTGTCAGTCAGCCCCTGGTGACAGCTATCATATTTATTTGTTGCAGGTATAACAGATAACAAGGTAGGCGTCAATCGGCAATCACTATCATAAGGCTGTAGCAACTGTAGTAGAACCCTTGAGTAGCACTTGTAAGTAGCAACAAACTCAGTAATGTTCAAGTAACAGGTACAGCAGTATTGATGATAGGACACATTATTGTTAGTAGTACCCAGAACAGTAATGTAGGTAGTAACAGGCACCATAACATTGTTGTACAATGATATATTTCCAGCACCAGAAGGTATCATGCAGGCATGGCCTATATTACCGAAGTGGGATCTACAGGAAGGGCATCAGGTCCTTAGACTAGTTCCAGAGGCTAGTAAGTAGTAAAGCATGCCACAATGTCCCTAAGGGTATCTCTCTGTTCCTGACAGACGAGGATACTTTCCCTACATTGTCCACTCACAAATGCACACAAAATCCAGCAGGGGAATGATATTTATTAACACTGCCCAAACTAAAGATGGCTGGCAAGGTCAGTCAGTGTGTCCAATCAGACTGCTGCTTACTGGTGACACCTAAGGAGTCTGCAGAGTAATGTTTCTCCCAGCCTCCACTCCATCTGCATAGTGGCACAGCAACACAGAGCCACCTACAGGATGGAGGATAAATTGTGCCTTACTACAACTCCAACCATTGGTGGTTCTCTTTATGAAATCCTTAAAAAGTTACTAAACCCATGATCCTGAATTCACTATATCTGACCTCCCACAGTACACAGAACATGGAAATGTAATTATTTTAGTAATTATAAACTGCTAAATACCTTTTCTCATCAGCAGTTAAAGAAGTCTTGTGACATCTACCAGTGTTCAGCAGAGCACTGCTTAAAGCTTGTAGGAGGAGTTTTCATTCTTCCTTGATTGTCCTATGAGGCTGAAAAACTCCTGACCCTCCATCTGGACAGTGCTGATTGGCCCTGTGCTGATCACATGCACTCTCCAAAGAAAACAAAAAACTCTCTAGCAATACACACCAAACTGAGCATGTGCAGCTTGGCCCCTACCCACATGGAAGAAAAATATATTTGAAGTATATTTTAAAAATATTCTTCCCAAATTTATTGACATATATTTGAAATGCTACAATTTTGCTCATATTTAATATATTTCAAAATATATTTCAATATATATACTACATGCTGAAATGCGTTTTTATTACAAATTATATGAAAAATATTTTTAAAAATACAATTCAAATATACTGTATGTCTTTAAAAATACAAATCTACATTTTTGGAATGCATTTACAAACATACGGAAAAATATATGTTAAAATTACGTTTTTATATGTTAAAAAAAAATCTGAAGACTATATTTAAAAAAAAAAAACATATTTTTTAAAATATTTTTCATATATTTTTCCGATTTTTTTTAACATATAAAAAAGTCATTTTAACATATATTTTTACATACATTTGTAAATGCATTCCAAAAATGTAGATTGGTATTTTTATAGACATACAGTATATTTGAAATTTATTTTTTTAAATATTTTTCATATATTTTGTCATAAAAATGCATTTCAGCATGCAGTATATATATATATATATATATATATATATATATTTATTTATTTATTGAAATATATTTTGAAATATATTGAATATGGCCAAAATTGTAACATTTCAAATATATATCAATATATTTGGGAAGAATATTTTTAAAATATATTTCAAATATATTTTTCTTCCATATGGGTAGGCTCTGTACTATCAGCCAGTGGATTGGGGACAGTAGAAGAAGGGGAGGATCAGAGAAGACAGGATCAAACAACCTTTTTTACACAATGCGGAAGATTAACCCCTTAGCTTCCACAGTGAGTATGCTTTACAGCATCTACAGACTGATTTTACTGTTGTGGGTTTAGTAACACTCAGGGGTGGACTGACAACTCATGGGGCCCCCGGGCAATAGGGGATCATGGGGCCCCTGTGTCCTTGCCCAAACTCAAAAAAGCCTATGAAAAAGGTACCAGGGGCATCTCATGGGGCCCCCTACTGACTCCGGGCCCTCGGGCAGTGCCTGAGTTTCCAAATGGTCAGTCCACCCCTGGTAACACTTTAATGCGCAAAGCAACAGGTTCACTTCATTGCCGACCCTCCAATCCCCCAATCACCACCACCATCACCAATGCTTCTATTCACCCTCGCTTTGCTGCCGCATTGTTTTGTTCACACACTGGAGGAAAAAAGGGAAAGATACATAGGGTTATATAGACATTCTCTCTGCCCTGATGTGAGTCCCCTGGGGCCTGGCGATTGGCTGTTATGGCAATCAGTGTTGTAATAACGGAAGAAAGGGGGCCACATGCTCCCCATACCAAGCAGTAAAAGCTATTTTACTTTTTCTCGGGAGGGTCAAGCTAGGCAGCAGAGCAGCAAGCGAAGATGTGTATAAGTCCTTGGAATAGGGGAGGGGCAGGTGGACAACCAATATATCTAAAGCAGGTGTCTTTTGTACATTGTGTCTCCATCAAATCTTACCCTTTCCTTAGCTTTGTTATCAGACATACATAGGCTCTGTCCTCATCTCTGTTAACCCATTTAAGCAGATGCCTTATTTCACAGATCGAGAAATTGAATTGTACCAAGGAGCTGTAAGTTACCCAGTTTACATACTCCCATGTACTGTAAATAAATCTTATTTTTACATTTATCGTACTTGTTCTATTTTTCTGCCACTACATGTTTTATTTTATCTGTTTGTCCTGATACGATGGAGATCCTATACCTCCACGCCAAAACAAAGGACTAAACAAAATTTTGATTACTTTGATCATTTGATACTATCTAAATCTGTCTTGTTGATTACCCAAGGTTCACACTTATGGGGATTCTAGCATGTTTTCCAACTTGCAAAAATGCCCCACGTTCCATTTAACATGGTTTCCTATGGATCTAGTTCGCATATGTGCGAATGTATTTTTTTGGATGTTTTGCATGTGATAGACTTTAATGGACCCGCACTAAAAATGCTTGTGTTTTTGATGCGTTTTGTGGAGGTTTTTTTTGTTAATAGGAAAGTATGATAGTTCTATTCATGTAGTGTGACTTTGATATGACTTTGATGCGACTTTATACTCTCTGGCACTCAAGTAGCATCAAAGTTGCATCACAGTTATTCTTTAGGCTAGGTTCACATCTATGCAGGTTGTGTTTGATGCGCTTTTAGGTGCATTTTGCAGTGCATTTTTGAACATGCATTTTTGCCGCGCTTTGTGGGTTTTTTTTTTTACTAATAGGAAAGTATGATAGTTCTGTTCATGAAGTGTTGCTTTGATGTGACTTTATACTCTCTGGCACAAGCAGCATTAAAGTCACATCAGAATAGCACAGGAACCTTTATGTGTCCAAAGTCGCATGTTAGGGTTATGGTTAAGGGCTAGGGTTAGGGTTAAGGGCTAGGGTTAAATTTAGGGTTGGAGTTAACATTTAACCGTAATCTTAGCTCTTAACCCTAACCCTAGCCCTTAACCATAACCCTAACATGCGACTTTGGACACATAAAGGTACCTGTGCTATTCTGATGTGACATTAATGCTGCTTGTGCCAGAGAGTATAAAGTCGCATCAAAGTCGCATTAAAGTCATGTCAAACCAACACTACATGAACAGAACTATCATGCTTTCCTATTAGTAAAAAAAAACCCCCAAAAATGCATGTTCAAAAGTGCACTTTAAAACACGCCGAAAAGCGCATCAAGCCCAACCTGCATAGAAGTGAACTTAGCCTAAAGAATAATAGAGAAACACACAAACCTTTCCAAACTTGGTCTTCAGAGGACATATGTTTTCAGCATTTTTACCACCATAAACTGACCAATTTTGAACTGTTATATACCAATACTTCGTGTTATACCTATAAAGTGCTATGCATGCAGGGTGTCCATCAGCTAATTTTTTTTTTTTAAAAGATTCATAAAGCAATGTACAGGGTACAAACAACTGCAAGAAATAACTTGAACACAATATATTTAGAATAGGTAATGTTTGGTCCAGCCAAGATCTCTTTTATCTTCATCATAATCTGAGATAAGCAAGTATATGTGATGCGTACACACCTGTAGGCTAGCGTGTGTGTGTGTCTGGAGAAAAAAATATCTGTCACAGGATCATATGAATCAATTTTTAAAAATATATTAAAATCAATTAACATAAAAATGAGAAGCAGATCAGAATAAAAATGTACCAGTCAGATGAGAACAAAAATGTGAATAGTATAGCAACCATCTATAGAGGTTTTGGCGTGCACACGCTTACAATTTTGCACAATTATTTGCATTTTTGTGTAAGTGCGGTTTATTAATTCACTTCTTGGGGCACTTTTATTCATTTTTTTCATTTGTTTGATTTTAATACATTTTATTAAAATGACTTTCTTAAGTATGCACACTAGGAGTTCTGGCTTCACATGCTGCATACTTGTTTGTAGACAATGAATGAAAAAGTATTGATGTCAAAGACAGCCATGCAACTAGCATTTCTAAAAGAGGGTTAAGAGAGTCAGCCTACAAAACTCCCTTAGTACTGGTTTCCTTTAATTTGTCAGCAGGGGCGGACTGACCATTTGGAAACTCGGGCACTGCCCAAGGGCCCGGGGTCAGTAGGGGGCCCCTGGTAGCTTTTTCATAGGCTTTTTTGAGTTTGGGCAAGGACACAGGGGCCCCATGATCCCCTATTGCCTGGGGGCCCCATGAGTTGTCAGTCCGCCCCTGTTTGTCAGCCAATATTAACAGATTTGTACAAACTTGTTTTTGTTCTTAGGCGCAGTATGAAAATCCTCCTCATATCTATGCATTAACAGACAACATGTATCGTAACATGCTGATTGATAGTGAGAACCAATGTGTCATCATCAGGTGAGGATATGAGTCAGTATCTGTTTTTCTCTTTCCCCCATCATCTGCTGCATTAAGTGTCCTTGGCAGACCACTGCGTCCATAGTCCTCAACGTTGCCTGTTTCTTTGTACTTTTTCCAAAGAGCTTGCACAGCACATCTTGAAACCTTAGTCTGCTTTGAAATCCTTGCTTGGGAGAGACCTTGCTGATGCAATATAACTACTATGTGTCTTGTTGCTGTGCTCTGTCTTCCATAACCTCATCTTAGTACATAGCTACATAGTCAGTCTGGCTGAAAAAAGACAAAAGTCCATCCAGGTAAACCATTAAAAAAAAAAAGTTATGATCCTATACCCACAGTTGATCCAGAGGAAGGCAGCAAAAAAAAAAAAAAAACAGCAAAGCATGATTAAATTTGCTTCAGGGGGGGTGGGGGGGGGGGAATTACTTCCTGATTCTACAAGAGGCAATCAGATATTCCCTGGATCATCTATACCTATAAATGTTAGTATAAAGTTATATACTGTGTAGTAGCAGCAGAGTTTGGCTGTTCTTCACTCAGTTTTAGGCCTCCTATACAGCTGTTTCTGTTTTAGTTAATGGCTGTGTTTCAACCTACATATGAAATTGATGATCAGTAGCACCTGCTTGGTCTAATTGCTAATCTTATACCTGAATCTAATCCTACAAAATTCCTGACTTTGTGCACAAAAGTGAGCAAGTGTAAAAATGTATGCTTGTTTGAAGCCAAAATGTAGTCACACCAAATATTGACTTGATTTAGATTTTTCTTCTGTTTGCACAGTTTGCATTTTGTAAATTGATAAAAAAAATAAACAATTAAAATACAGGTGAAACTCGAAAAATTATATTCTAATTTTTCGAGTTTCACCTGTATATATTTTTGCAGGCATTCTTACTGTACAGGAAAACTCATACAAATGAGCGCAGAGAGGCCACTCCAGGTGGAAACATGTGAACAGTTAATCATGAGCTCACCACTGCTGCCTTGTTAATCATATGCATGATGAAGAGAACTGGAAAAAAAGGCGCTGTGGAAAATGCTCTCAGACAAGCACCTTAGTGGAGGTGCATCTTTATTGGGTGAGATAAAGTAGCAAGTATAATAAAATTAACCAGCCTGAAGTGGACAGTGTGATTCCAATGGACGGCCCGTCCGCTCTGAGGGGAGCTGAGATCAAAGAATGCTCCTGTCGGCTTCAAATCACGTGGTGTCAGCGTACCAGCGTCCTGGGTGGTGTCACCATGGCAAACGAAGGCAGTGTCCGGCGTTGGCTTCAGCTGGGAGCATATGTGGGGTTACCAAGACGACATGTTTCGCGCAGTTGCGCTTTGTCAAGTCTCTGAGACTCTGAGACTTGACAAAGCGGAATCACACTGTCCACTTCAGGCTGGTTAATTTTATTATACTTGCTACTTTATCTCACCCAATAAAGATGCACCTCCACTAAGGTGCTTGTCTGAGAGCATTTTCCACAGCGCCTTTTTTTCCAGTTCTCTTCATTCTTACTGTACAGCATTTCTATACACCTGCCTAAAACGTTTACACAATACTGTACATTTGGACTTTAAATGCATTTTTAAATGCAACCAGTGGAAGTACTGGAATTTGACATGATATCAGCATCTTGTAATCGTTTGTACAGCAGAGATAGAGAGGGCAGGGCTGGGAATCAATTTGGTGTTCTGCACACAAATGACAGGGAACTTAATGATAAGAGGAAAGAGCCGAATGAGCAGAGAGATAATCTCATGAGTCTGCTGCTGCATATTTATTGTCCAGCCAGAAGGCTGGGAGTGTGGAGAAGAAACTGCTTTACAGTATGCCTTCTAAAGTTTAAAGCTGTGAGAAGTGGTGTTATCCAGCTGGCTATGCTGTGTAATGGGGCTGCGTATATCTCAGGAACGGATGGGCAGAAAAACATATCCAGCTCCATTATACAGTATATATTCCATCTCTTTACTTAGTTGTTTGCCTGGAGTTCATCTTTAAGCCCTTATGTGTATATGTCAGCAATAAAATTAAATATTAATGTCACATTTCACTTTTTTCAGCGGTGAGAGTGGAGCAGGAAAAACGGTGGCTGCTAAGTACATTATGGGCTACATATCCAAAGTATCTGGAGGAGGAAGCAAAGTGCAGGTATTGTAAATTATCATCAGGCATCAATTTCTCTAGATAGAAGACTTTGGTTTTCTAATCATTAGTGGGTCAAATAGGCGTTCATTTTCAACTGCAGTGACAAGAAAATTTAAAGGAGCAGGATGGAAAATGTTCCTTAAATGAACAAATTTCTGACACCATATATGGTTTTTGATTGGGAAATTACAATTTTTAAAAGCAAACAACATTTTGAAGCACTTTCAAATTTCATTTGTCAAGTAATCAAAAAAAAAAAAGTGAAAAAATACATTAAAAAATTTAAATATTGTAAAAAAATAATAAAAACTGAAGGGCTTATTCATGCGGGTTCTCTGGCCCATACAATGTGAATGAGTGGTTTTGTAGTGCAGCTGGAGCCGCCTGTTACTCTAAAGGGAGGCAGCAACTATACGAACACAGCCGCAGGTCCTAATTTGACAGATGTGCATGTGAGCATGAGTGGCCTTGAAGGCACACTGTCTATGTTCATGGTCATACACCTGCACCCACACGCCTGTCAAATTAGGACCTGTGACTGTGTTAGTACAGCTGCTAATTCCCCATGGTGTAATACACTATATTGCCAAAAGTATTGGGACACCTGCCTGTACACGCACATGAACTTTATTGACATCCCAGTCTTAGTCCGTTGGGTTCAATATTGAGTTGGCCCATCCTTTGCAGCTATAAAACATTCATCTCTTCTTGGAAGGCTATCCACAAGGTTTAGGAGTGTCTATGGGAATGTTTTACCATTCTTCCAGAAGCGCATTTGTGATGTCAGGCACTGATGTCGGACGAAAAGGCCTGGCTTGCCATCTCCACTCTAATTCATTCCAAAGGTGTTCTGTCGGGTTGAAGTGAGGACTCTGTGCAGGCCAGTCAAGTTCCTCCACCCCAAACTTGCTCATCCATGTCTTTATGGACCTTGATTTGTGCACTGGTGTGCAGTCATGTTGGAATAGGAAGGGGCCATACCCAAACTGTTTCAACAAAGTTGGGAGCATGAAAAGTTTTGGTATGCTGACGCCTTAAGAGTTCTCTTCACTGGAACTTAGGGGCCAAGTGAAAAAACAACCCGCACCATATTCTCCCCTCCACCAAACGTTACACTTGGCACAATGCAGTCAGGAAAGTACCATTGTCCTGGCAACCACCAAACCCAGACATGTTCATTGGATTGCCAGACAGAGAAGCGTGATTCATCACTCCAGAGAACATGTCTCCACTGCTCTAGAGTCCAGTGGTGGTGTGCTTTACACCACTTTGTCCGATGCTGTGCTTTGCATTTGGTGATGTAATGCTTAGATGTAGCTGCTTGGCCATGGAAACCCATTCCATGAAGCTCATTTTACGTTGCTGTTGTTTCCAGTTGCTTCCACTTTGTTATAATACCAATAACAGTTGACCATGGAATATTTAGTAGCAAGGAAATTTCATGGATGGACTGATTGCACAGGTTGCAACCTATCACGGTACCAAGCTTGAATTCACTGAGCTCCTGAGAGTGACCCATTCTTTCACAAATGTTTGTAGAAGCAGTCTGCATGCCTAGGTGCTTGATTTTATACACATGTGGCCATGGAATTGATTGGAACACCTGAATCCAATGATTTGGAGGGGTGTCCCAATACTTTTGGCAATATAGTGTATGTTCTTGTATCTTATTTATGGACCTCTTTCATATAAGAACATACTAGTATAATGTCTATCCTGCCGTCAGCTAATAATGGAATCTTCTATTCTTCCAACCAGTCCATCCCCCACAGTTACTACCTTTTGTACCACTAGCCCCTCCCTCCTAGATTGTAAGCTCCAAGGAGCAGGGCCCTCCTATCCATCTTGTATTGAACTGTATTGTTGCTGTATTATCTCCCGTTATATTGTAAAGCGCTGAGCAAACTGTTGGCGCTATATAAATCCTGTATAATAATAATGTGTTAGCATAGCTGTATATGAATGAATGATGAATCTATAAGCATGGAATAAGACTGTTACAGTGTGAAGATTACAAACACTGCACGCTTGTGTAATGTCTTTTATTGTGTCCCTCCAGTATTGGGGGTGTCCCAATATTTTTGGCAATATAGTATATACAGGGTGTCCATACAGTCAGGACACATAGGCAAAATGCATATCTTCAATAAACTTCAATACACTTTTCAACAACATTTTATTTAATTGGAATATTGATCAATAACATCTTTAATGTGATTTCCACCATTTGTGATGCAAAGTTCCATGCACCTTGCAAAATCTACATGAACCCGATGCAGTAACTCTGCATTTACGTCAATTTGAGCACATTCATTCATGATGTTTTCCTTCAATTGATTTATAGCTGTGATTTTCATTGAGTACACCTTCTCCTTTAGCATACCCCAAAAAAAGAAGTCAAGGGGGTTATGGTCTGGTGAGCTTATATAATTATATATTATATACATATATAACGATATTTCCTATGTTTCCAGACTTTAGGGACACCCTGTAGACTTCCTATACACAGCTACTGCCACATAAACTATGGATTCATGCTACATAGGCCATAGCGCCCATGTGTATGAGCCCCATGACCTCATTCCCTTACAGAGCTTTATTTATTAACTCAGTACAGTTTTATCCATTAGATTTAGCAGGAATTTTGTAATGTATGTCATGTTTGTGTACGCTAATATTGATCTAGGAGCTGATTCACACATGTGTGCTGCGGATTGAAGCTCAGGTTTCACAGCTAATTGACAGTAGCTGTTCAGCGGTTCATGTCAGGTTTACATCAGGTTCAGGACAGGATTGGCTCAGGATTTTATCCTGTTCACACACATGTAGTTTAGAAACGGTTCCAATAGAAGTCATTAGCTTGTAATCTACACCTGAACCTGAAGGCACTGCTCAGACTCTTTTTCAAACTGCACTAAATCCGCACCTCCAGTGCACTGGACATATGTGAACAGGCACCATAGGAAGAAATGTTATTTCATATGTCATGTGGATTGGATGCGGTTCAAACCACATCCAATCCGCATATATGTGAACCAACACTTTGTGTATTTGTGGCGAAAAGAGTGTTTTGTTGTTTTTAGGGGGGGGGCTCTGCCAGGTACGCTTTATGGAGCCATGATATCTAACAGCAGTCCTGCTTGTAATACTTTAAAGTATAACTAAAGGCAAAGCATTTTTCAGTTTTGGATAAAGTGGAGATGGATTAGAACATCTGTCAGTCTCTTTTACTACCTCTGCCTCCATTAGAGAGATTCGCCATCTCTATTTGTCCTGTTTACTGTTATCAAAAGTGAAAGTAATAGAACATTCTAAATTTTGGGTTGTCCCCAAAACCTTAATATAGGGTAAATCTTCCATTGGGGGCAGTAGTTCTGGTGACTTGGGAGGCCCCAATGAATTCCCTTAATTTGCATGGATTTCCTCTCACTTTCTGTTTTAGCTATGGGGAGGGAAGGTAAATCTCCCCAATGGGATACAAATGGCAAAAAAAAAAACTGACAGGGGTCCGTCCAAAATGAAAAAAAAGCAGTTTTGCCCATAATTCTACTTCTACTTTATTTTCACTTGTGATGTGAGATACCAGAGCACCGCTAACATACTGGTGCTAACAAAAATCTGTTCTAAGAAAATAAGTAAGGTGCTACTTCAAAACTCCTTTGGAACAATTTAGTTGCCTAGCTGTTCTGTTGATCCAACAGATTTAGTCATTTCTGAGTAACTGACCCAGAATAGAGGCAGATAAGGAGCAGGAGAGGGCTTCTGCTACCAAGAAGAGAAAAGCAATATCCCTGATAATAAGTCTGATCATTACAAGATCAGGCAATTAATTTCATGTTTCATTCCCTGAAAGATAAACTTGTGGTTTTTATATTATCTAATAAGCCAATGTGAGAACATCTCTCAACATTTTACTCAGCTAAATGTACACTATGTATACTGTAATGTTTAAATTTGTCCCCTTTTTTTCATTTTCCAGCATGTAAAAGATATCATTCTTCAGTCTAACCCTCTTCTTGAAGCATTTGGCAATGCCAAGACGGTCAGGAACAACAATTCGAGTCGATTTGTAAGTGTGTGAAGTAGTGCATCAATGGTGGATAAAAAACATAAAGGAGATTTTTTTAGAATGAATACAAATCCCGCAAATCTGTTGGGAAGCTGAATGATAGCAGTTGCTTCCTACAACCAAAATTACCCTCTACAACTGGAGGCTTCCAAGTACCTCTACACAAGAACTGGTACTAGTTATGGGCAGGTGCATTACTATGCATAATACTGAAAGGGTGTGCTTTGTCCCAGATCCTTTCCAAAAGTAGATCAAGATGGCCACTATAAGGCCTGGAGACAAGAGATCCAGTGAGGACCTCCACTGCTTCCTCTTGCCATTGAATCTCCCATTATGTACAAGAGTACCGTACTAACCAAGTTGCCTGCTATTCTGCACTGTATACATGATTATTGACGGTGCATGCATGCCAGTTATGGAAAATGATAAATAGGAATGTGCACTTGTTGTGTTTACTTGGCCATTAAGGAAACACAATTTTTTAAAAATTTCCATACCTATTCACTTCAGCTCTGGAAAGTTTTACCACCTTCATGACCAGGCTATTTTTTGCTATTTGCACTGTGCTCTTTTAACTGCTAATTTCGTGGTCAAGCAATGCTGTATCCAAAAGAAAGTTATATCTTTTTTAACACACAAATAGTGCTTTCTTTTGATGGTATTTGCAAACATAAAAATTGCTGTGCTGCCTCTCCCAAAAACCACTTTAAATAATAAATGAATGAATGAACTCCCTACTGCACAAAGGGTCCCCACAAATGTGCATGTGCTATAATGCCCCGTGGGCTGGCAATTAAATCCCTCCTCCCCAGTGACTAAATCCTAAATAAACCAATAAGTAAATACAAGGTGCCTAAATGACAATAGTGCTAAAAATAGCACATATACAATGCCATAAATTGTGTATACAGTGAAATTGTATAATTGTATAAAACAATATATATATATATATATATATATATATATATATATATATATATATATATAAATATATATAAGTCCCAATAATGTGCAAACATATAAAAGTTCCAAAACAGATGAAAGTTCAAAAATAATTCCAAAGAAACCCCCATCCGCATCTGTTGTCAATATTAAGAGGTACCGTAGTAAATCTTCTTATCCATAGCAATTCTCTGTGCGTAGTGCTCCAATTTTTGCTCCCCCTCCAGAGCCCCACTCACCACAGATAATTGACCACCTGGAATGGTAGGTCAAATATCGCATAAGATGTTGCAGTGCTCTCCTGCAGAAAAGTTTGCTGTCTGTGTGGTCTTGACACTTCTATACCCTGATGACAGACTCCATAGTGGAAAGATTAATTGTTCGCGACAAAACTCCTCCAGAACCTCCACAGTACTCCTCCACCACCATAAAACATCAAAGGGAAACTTCCATAGCATAACATTATATTTATTAGGTAAAAAACATTTAAAATTGCACTTACATAAAAACCATGTGTATGGCACTTTAAATCCCAGCAAAAAGCAATTCCTTCTCAGAGGACATGTGTAGCGCTATTAGGCTCCAGCCTACATGTTTCGTTGTATGACGCTCTTGATGATGTCAGGACTTGCTGTTAGGACTTGAGTCAGGGGGTGGGGGTGCCCTGTACACGTAAGAGGCCAGCAACATAAAGGGACATCACTGTGCCTATACGGGCTTCCCGTCAGCAGTACATTGCAGGTGGGCGGCCTGCAAGTGGTTATACAGAATGAGCATATTTTGTGTGTTGTAGGTCATAATGGAGAGCAAATTTTCCTAAATTGTCCTTTATATACAGAACTGGCTTGATGCTCTTCCCAAACACAGAGTTGAAGGCCAAAATGGAGGCATCCCATGTAAATAGAATTTTTGTTGAAGACATTGTAAGATAAACATTGATGTGTTCAGAACCCAGAAAGAAATTGCAAGGAAGTTGGCTAAAATGTCTACACTGCATATAGTCCACCAGCAGGGTCTTGCTTTTTTTTAACAAAACTGGAGATTTTCCTTAAAGCTATGTTAACAGCCTTGCTGTAGGGGTTAATAAAGTGTAATAGAAGGGTTGATATGCTTAGTTGTCCTGTATAATATGCAGCTTCAGTGCTGATCGCTTTCACCTAGAAGCACTAGGGTCATCGGTTCAAATCCCAGTCATGACAGTACCTGCCTGGAGTCTGCATGTTCTCCCTGTGCCTGTGTGGGTTTCCTCCGGATACTCTGGTTTCCTCTTACACTCCAAAGACATGCTGGTAGGTCAATTGGCTCCTGTCTAAATTGGCCCTAGTATGTGTATGTATGAATGTGACTTAGGGGCCTTAGATTGTAAGCTCCTTGGGTTTTTAATATGTATAATATGTAAAGCACTGCATAAATTGACAGCACTATATAAGTACCTGTAATAAATAAATAAACCAAAAGCCTTTTGGTCATATGATGTGTGCTGAAAAGGAATCGGAGCGCAAATCATCAGCTTCAAAAAAAAAAAAAATCATATGCACAAAGGTTTTAATTTTGGGATGAGCTTCTGAGAACCCAGAGCAGCATTTTCTCAAGGAATGGTAAGTTTTTTAGCTCTTTTATTATTCCTAATTACCCATCTTCGCAAGCCTAAAAAAGCTTTACATTATTTCAAGATTAGGTCCACTTTAAGGGCCGGTTCACACTATAGAAACGCAGTCCAGATGCGTTCCGGATGCATTTTTGCATGCACTTTTTTTAAGTGTTTTTTGGCGCATTCCGGTGTGTTTTTCCAGTTAATTTTTTCCCCTCTATTTTTCTCCAATTTAAATAGGGACATGTGCGTTTTTGGTGCGTCTGTTGCGTTACGGTACGTTTTTTATGCGTTTTACTGCGTTCCAGTACAGTTCTGTACAGAAAAAATGCAGCATGTTATACTTTTTTATCTGCAACTGGAACGCACTGGAACTGCTAGCACTCATGTGAACTATGACAGGACTTGAAAAAGCCGCTCGCCCGCTCGACAAATGCGAGGAGAAATTCCTCTGTGGCGAGTGGCTGCGAGATGAGAGCACAGATGAAAAAGCATGGAGCGACTGCACATGCGCTCCAAGCCTCATTGTGAAGTCGAGTTCCGGTTTACAACTTCCGGTTTCCGCGGCATCGCCATTGCAGTGGCAGCACCGCTGAGGGGACACATGCAGGAGAGGTCCGCTCTCCTACGCTGAGAGGAGACACTCTCTCCACTGCCGTGGGGGACTTGAGGCCCGCTCTCCACCGCCATGGGGGACACGAGGCCCACTCTACACCTCCTTGGGGGACATGAGGCCCGCTCTCCACCGCCTTGGGGGACACGAGGCCCGCTCTACACCTCCTTGGGGGACACAAGGCCCGCTCTCCACCGCCTTGGGGGACACGAGGCCCGCTCTCCACCGCCTTGGGGGACACGAGGCCCGCTCTCCACCGCCTTGGGGGACACGAGGTCCGCTCTACACCTCCTTGGGGGACGCGAGGCCCGCTCTACACCTCGTTGGGGGACACGAGGCCCGCTCTCCACCACCTTGGGGGACACGAGGCCCGCTCTTCACCGCTTTGGGGGACACGAGGCCCGCTCTCCACCGCCTTGGGGGACACAAGGCCCACTCTACACCGCCTTGAGGGACATGAGTAAGGTTTGTGCCTGGCTAGAAGGTCTGGACTTGAATTTTAACCCCTGAACTATGACATTGACAACCATATAACCTACTTTCTGTGCATTTTGGATGCAGTAAAAAAGCAACTGAAACGCATGTAGTGTGAACTGGCCCTAAGTCATGAACAAAGAATAAATCTATTTAAAATTGTGAAATTGTGTGAAACTAGCATTTGTAACACCATTTTTCTGCAAAATGTTGTAAATAACAACTATTCTTTTCATACATTCAGGGTCCTTTAGATTTTTAAAGTAAATGGAAAATGTTCAAATGTTGCATTATTAAGAAAGGGGTGAAAATTTCTACTTGAAAGATCCATGTCTACAGTGTTTTGTACGCTAAATTATATTATTATGTAGAAATTGCTGCATTTGTAAGACAAAGCTGTGTCTACAGTTACTCTATGGCGACAAGCAGAAATTGGCGAATCTTTTTTGCAATAGGGAAGATTCAAGGCAAACTACTGACTATTTTCAGCAATACGATATCTAGATAATTTGCCTTTACGTTTTATTTGGAAGGTTTCATAAGAAAAAATTGCAATCACTGGAGCAACACATCTAAACATCTAAACATTTCAGCTATAACATTTTGGTTTCTTATGACAGGGTAAATACTTTGAAATACAGTTCAGCCGTGGAGGAGAGCCAGATGGAGGCAAGATATCAAACTTTCTGCTGGAAAAATCCCGTGTTGTTAACCAAAATGAAAATGAGAGAAATTTTCATGTCTTTTACCAGGTAAATATAGAAATGTGGAAACACAAAGAATTCATATGAAATCAAGTTCATGTTTGCTATAGTAAATAAATGTGTTCTAAGCATGTGCAAAATGCAGTAACTCATAGTAATGAGTAGCTCTCAAACTTCAAATAACATCAATGCCAGAGGTAATAGTTTTTTACACATTGCTATTACATTAAGTTGCATCTCCTTTTGTTATGTCACTTCATTTTAAAGCTGTATGCAGTGGGGGTTAGTTACTAAAACTGGAGAGTGCAAAATCTGATGCATCTCTGCATAGAAACCAATCAGCTTCCAGGTTTTATTGCCAAAGCTTAATTCAACCAGCAGAAGTTAGAAGCTGATTGGCTACCATGCACAGATGCACAGGATTCTGAGTGCACCAATTGTAGTAAATTTACCCCATTGTCGTTTAGGGCTCATTCACACTTATGAGCACATTTTTGGTGAGTCAATGAGTGTTGTTCTGACCATGCCCAATAAATTTTAAAGGCATCACTAGACTTGTGCGTTCCTTTTTCCCCCATACACTACAAAGCAACAGTAACATTGTTAAAGTGATACTAAAGGATACATTTTTGAGGTAAAATTTTTAGTGCCCCATATGGTTTACAAATGTTTGTAACTGATTGCTGCCTCCACCCATATGGAAGAAAAATATATTTGAAATATATTTTAAAAATATTAAAAAATATTGACATATATTTGAAATGCTACAATTTTGGCCATATTCAATATACTTCAAAATATATGTCAATTAAAAAAAAATATATATATATATATGTATATGTATGTATATATATATATACAGTTGCAAGAAAAAGTATGTGAACCCCTTGGGATTACGTGGAGTTTTGCATGAATTGGGCATAAAATGTGCTCTGAACGTCATCTAAGTCACAACAATAGAAGAACACAGTCTGCTGAACATAATACTACACAAACATTAGATGTTGCCATGGTTTAATTGCACATAACATGTAAACATTCACAGTGCAGGGAGGAAAAAGTATGTGAACCTTTGGACTTAATAACTGGTTGACCCTCCTTTGGCAGCAATAACCTCAACCAAACGTTTCCTGTAGTTGCAGATCAGACCTGCACAACGATCTGGAGTAATTTTGGACCACTCCTCTTCACAAAACTGTTTCAGTGTAGCAATATTCTTGGGATGTCTGGTGTGAATCGCTCTCTTAAGGTCATGCCACAGCATTTCAATCGGGTTGAGGTCAGGACTCTGACTGGGCCACTCCAGAAGGCGTATTCTGTGCTGTTGCAGCCATTGTTTTGTTGAATTATTTGTATGCTTTGGGTCATTGTCCTCTTGCATCACCCATCCTCTGCGGAGCTTCAGTTGGCGGGCAGATGGTTGTACGTTTTCCTGCAAAATGTCTTGATAAACTCTGAAATTAATTTTCCCATCAATGACAACAATCCGTCCAGACCCTGAGGCAGCAAAGCAGCCCCAAACCATGATGCTCCCTCCGCCATGTTTTACAGTGGGGATGAGGTTTTGATGTTGGTGTGCTGTGCCTTTTTTTCTCCACACATAGTGTTGTGTGTTCTTCCCAAACAACTCAATCTTGGTTTCATCTGTCCACAGTATATTTTGCCAGTAGTGCTGTGGAACATCCAGGTGCTCTTTTGCAAACTTCAAACGTGCTGCAATCTTCTTTTTGGACAGCAATGGCTTCCTCCGTGGTGTCCTCCCATGTACTCCATTCTTGTTTAATGTTTTCCTTATTGTAGATGTGTCAACAAAAATGTTAGCATGTGCCAGAGATTTCTGTAGGTCTTTAGCTGACACTCTGGGATTCTTCTTTACCTCATGCAGCATTCTGCGCTGTGCTCTTGCAGTCATTTTTACAGGACGACCACGCCTAGGGAGAGTAGCAACAGTGCTAAACTTTCTCCATTTGTAGACAGTCTGTCTTACTGTGGACACATGAACATCAAGGCTTTTGGAGATACTTTTGTAACCCTTTCCAGCTTCATGCAAGTCAACAATTCTTGATCGTAGGTCTTCTGAGAGCTATTTTCTGCGAGGCGCGGTTCACATCAGACAGTGCTTCTTGAAACCAGTAAACCCAAAACAGGTGTGCGTTTTTTTTTAAGGGCAGGACAGCTGTCAGCAACACATCCAATATCATCACACTGATTGGAGTCAAGGTTGGCTCACTCCTGGCTCCAATTAGCTCTGGGAGAAGTCATTAAGCTAGGGCCTCACATACTTTTTCCTCCCTGCACTGTGAATGTTTACATGTTATGTGCAATTAAACCATGGCAACATCTAATGTTTGTGTAGTATTATGTTCAGCAGACTGTATTCTTCTATTGTTGTGACTTAGATGACATTCAGAGCACATTTTATGCCCAATTCATGCAAAACTCCACTTAATCCCAAGGGGTTCACATACTTTTTCTTGCAACTGTATATATATACTGTATGTTGAAATGCGTTTTTATTACATAATATATGAAATATATTTTTAAAAATACATTTCAAATATACCGTATGTCTTTAAAAATACAAATCTACATTTTTGGAATGCATTTACAAATATATGTGTAAAAATATATGTTAAAATTACTTTTTTATATGTTGAAAAAATCTGAAGAATATATTTTTAAAATATATTTTTCAAATGTATTTTTAAATATATTTGTCATATATTTTGTAATAAAAATGCGTTTAAAAAAATCTGAAGAATATATTTTTAAAAATATATTTTTGAAAAGCATTTTTAAAAATTTTTTTTAGATATTTTGTAATACAAATTGTATTTCAACACACAGTATATATATATATATATATATATATATATATATATATATATATATATATACTGAAATATATTTTGAAATATATTGAATAAGACCAAAATTGTAGCACATTTTGTAATAAAAATGCATTTCAACACACACAGTATATATATATATATATAATTTATTTATTTTTTTAAATATATTTTGAAATATATTGAATATGGGCAAAATTGTAGCATTTCAAATATATGTCAATATATTTGGGAAGAATATTTTTTAAATATATTTCAAATATATTTTTCTTCCATGTGGGCCAATGCACTTCTTTTGTCTGTCTGTTCATGCTTCATCGTTTATGCGTCTACTTGAAAAATCTAAAACATAGAATTTTAGAAAAAAAATGTAAAAATGTTGATGCCAAATGTTTACATGCAAAGAACAATATTACATTTTTCAACATATTTTTATCAGTATATGAAATCAAATTATACCAATAATCTTAGTTAGGCTTAGTTAGTTAGGCTCTTATATTGTAAACTCCAAGGAGCAGGGCCCTCCTAACCCTCTTGTATTGAACTGTACTGTTGCTGTATTGTCTCCTGTTATATTGTAAAGCTCTGAGCAAACTGTTAACGCTATATAAATCCTGTATAATAATAATAATACTAATAATAGGCTAATTTTGCTTTTGAAACTTGCTGCTTAAAACATTTAAATGTGAGCTATTATTGTACAGTTAAAGCGAGTAACTAATTCCTTTTAATCTTTTAAAGCTGATAGAGGGAGCTTCACCAGACATGAGACAAAATCTGGGCATTATGAATCCAGATTACTATTTCTACTTAAACCAGTCAGATACTTATAAAGTGGATGGGACCGACGATAAAAATGACTTCTGTGAAATGATGGTAAACATTTATGAATTCTATATCCCTTAATCTGAATGAGTGATTTATGGAATAATTTGCTATTATGTTTATGATTTGATCATGGCATTGTCCATATCTGCTTTCACTAGAATGCCATGCAAGTCATTGGTATTACTGGAGAACACCAGCAGATGGTCCTACAGATAACAGTGGGCATTTTGCATCTGGGAAACATCAGCTTCCAAGAACAAGGAAACTATGCCATGGTAGAATGTGCTGACTGTGAGTAGTGCTTTCTCAGATTAATTATCGGTCAACTATGTTCTGTCTAGAGGAGAAAAAAACATATTGAGGCATCCTGAAATCCTTCTATGAAAAATAAAAGAGAATAATAAACCTCCACAAAGAACTAGCCTTAAATGAGTTTTTAAGTAATATGGTAAAAGCTGAACTCTAGTCAGACAACTAAATATACAGATGAAATACATATATTGGACTGTTGTACGTGTACGTTGAGTTGTATTTCTGTTCATCCAGTCCTGAGATATACACAGCTATGCCCCACAGCACCCTGTCTAACCGGGAAAAAAACTGATCTTTCTCTGCTGCAGTGTTATCTTTAGCACATCAATATTCACTGAAGCTATATTTTCACTAGCAATGAACCCATGTATAAAAGAATTGTTATATGAAGTTTGCTCCAACAATGACCCATGCAAGATATTTAACCAATATCCTGCAGTTTAAAGCCATACACTTTCAGTTTCAGCTAAATACAATTTGGGTTCATCAAAATAAAAGGGGTGTACAGTCCTACAGTTCATTTTCTGTAAAAAAAAAAAAAGCCACAGCCTGAGTGGAAAAGGTGGTCCTCTGCCAGCTTGCAGGGCACCTTTGCTCTCCGTTTGGAAGCAGTAGTCTCTCTGCAGAGGTTTGCCATGCCCCTGCCCCTGCTGTGTCCGAGATAAAGCTCTTCAATCAGCAGGGAGCATTAGCTTTACTGTTTGCAAGAATATTGGTCAGACTTTCAGGGGGCATGCCAGACCACTGTATTGCTTTCACACAGAGAGCAAGGGTCCTTCTCTAAGGTATACTGGCAGGGTACAGGCTTTGCTACGCAGACTGTGACTGCTTTCTAAAGAAAATGAACTGTAAGACTTTGAACACGTTTTGTTGTGATGCATTTGGAATGTATTTAGTGGATTTAAACCTAAATTTAAATTGGGCCTTAATGGCGAATGTGAAACAAAATGTTAAAAATAAATATTTGTTCAGTAAAGTTATACCTGTTAGTAACTGAATTAAATAATCAATTTTGTATCCATTAAACACTTCCTGACATTTTATTGAAGCTTGACATCTATACAGAATTCTCTTACAAAAAAAAAAGTGACATGGCCATATTTTATAAAAAATATGGCCATGTCACTTTGGCAACAAATTTTGCAAGCATAAAGGAATGCACAATTTTAAAATGTGTTAATTATAGCATAAAAATGTCTCTTAGTTGTAGCCAGTTGTAGTAGGACCTTGCCATAAATATTCTCTAACAATTGCAATGTCATGCCTGTCTTATTGTGTTATAGTGCTGGCATTCCCTGCCTACCTGCTTGGTATAGACAAGGACCGCCTCAATGATAAACTCACCAGCCGTAAGATGGATAGTAAGTGGGGGGGGACGTTCTGAGTCCATCACAGTTACTTTGAATGTGGAACAAGCGACTTATACAAGAGATGCTCTGTCCAAAGCTCTGTATGCCCGAATGTTTGATTTCCTGGTGGAAGTAAGTAAAAAGAAAATGTGTAGGTCCCACTGTTATAAGATTTTGCTCAAATGATTTGTCTACTTGTCCCCAAACACAGAATGCCAGTTAGACCAAAAAGTGGACGTAAACTTGATACTACACCTTGCCTACTTTCAGCACTCTCCTGTTTAATGTTTTATTTCTAACTCAATCCAGTAATAATTACCCGCTACTCTGTACTAATTCTGGCTGTAATCCTAGAAACAGGGGCGGACTGACCATTTGGAAACTTGGGCACTGCCCGAGGGCCCGGGATCAGTAGGGGGCCCCATGAGATGCCCCTGGTACCTTTTTCATAGGCTTTTTTGAGTTTGGGCAAGGATACAGGGGCCCCATGATCCCCTATTACCCGGGGGCCCCATGAGTTGTCAGTCCGCCCCTGCCTAGAAATCATTCTTTGGTGCAGAATGTACTACTGAATGACTACACAAAGGAAGACAGCTACTAGCACACTCTCATATCTCCCCACTTTTGCAATTTTGCTCCCTGATCTATGTGTGAGTGTTCCTGTTCTACAGTTAGAGTAGAAAAACCAGGGAAAAGGGGAATGGGAAACGCTGGGGAGTACACAGACAGTATCTAAAAAGTGAGGTGCCACCAGAGTATCTGGAAGGGTGCTACCTAATTTAGTGTGTGGAGATAGCATGTGGATGTCAGGGGGAGGGGGGGCATGTTCCACTCTGATGCGTTTCATCCCGACCACTTCCGGGACTTCTTCAGAACTTGCTTTTTGCTGCATTATCACAATTATTTCCTCCATCCATCTGGCTCTGGTTATACAAGAGGTTACTTACATCATGTATTGAACGGACTTTGAGGCTATCACCTTGTATAGTGACTTTATACATTGTTATCCTCTCTGACCAGCGGCCACAGTCATACTGGCCTTATCTGATTGCAATTCATTTTATTGCCTTACGCTTATGCATCACATTGCTGCTGTATAGTAGTGTATATACTTTTCTCACTGTGTGGTTTAGTTTATCCAGGAGTCCCGGAGTGTGTTGTTGGTATACATTTCCATCTAGTGGGTGTTGGGGGTGTCAGTGGGCTAGTATTATTCCCCTCAGCTCCTCTCTCTCCCATTAGTGAGGGGGGTGGTGGGACGGGAGGGTCCTCCATCTAGGGGAGGGGTGTATTGTGGGTCCCTGTGGGGGTTGTTGGGGGGTTGGGAGTGTTCGGTGGGGTGGGTTGTGTCAAAGTTTGGATTCTGGAGGGTTCAGGGTAGGTTAGTCCCAGTGGACCATTTCCATTCTTGGTCCATTCTTGAGGGTTTCCCTCTTGAATTCTCTGGGGGTGTAGTGTCCTCTGCTATGCAGGATTGTCATGTCTCCGATGGTTTAATACTGTTTATGGTGCATAATAAAATTCATTTGAGGTTAGCCAATTAGGTGTGCAGCCTTTTTTCTTCCATTTATTTTGTATTTTCTACAGTTAGAGTAGCCTGTGTTATGAATATTTATATCTCCCTGGCCAACCACTAGGAAGTTTATTGCCAGAACAGCATGCTGGTGAAGGATATAAATATTTAGTTCTGGAAACTTTCTTGCCTCCCAGGCTCGGCCTGGGGCAAACATATATTCAGTTGTTCTTTAACCTCCCATGCCTGGGGCAGACACCTGTGCTTGAGGGAGGAAGGCCTGTAAGCTTGTATCACCTTGCCAGAGGACCTACCCAGGAGAGGTGAAGCTTGACCTTGGATTGGAGTAACAAGTAGGAATGTCATCTGCTGGAAGGATGTCCAGAGAAGTTGGGTATGAGCCTGGGCATGAAGTCTGGTGGCTCACCTGGGGAATGTTTGTGCTGCAGGTGCTCTACAGTCAAAAGAATACAGAGTGCAGGTCTGGCTTAACCACTTGCCAACCGCTGAAAGATGGCTACAGTGTGGGTGTTCAGTTCTGTGAGGGCATCTATTGACATCCTCCCAGGACCCTGCTCCCCTGTGCACCCCTGGGGCATGCATCAGGCGCACTCTGTGATCACTCTGTCCTTCAGACTCAGCTGATCACAGATTGAGGTAAAGGGCCAATCACGGTGGCCTTTTACCATGTGATCACCTGTGTCCAATCACAGCTGATCCCATGTAAACAAATGTCCGTTATCGGCTAGTCCTTTCCTCAGCGCTGTCGCTGTGTGAGGAAAGGAAAGCCGATAACAGGTTGTTCTGCACCCATTTACACTGATAATCAGTGCAGCGCCGTCAGTGCCCATCAGTCCAGCCTCATCAGTGCCCATCAGTCCAGCCTAACAGTGCCCATCAGTGCAGCCTCATCAGTGTACATCAGTGAAGAAGAAAAATTACTTATTTGCAAAATGTTATAACAGAAACAAAGAAAATATTTTTTTAAACAAAAAAAAAACAGTGGTGATTTAATACCACCAAAAAAAAGTGCTGTGTCAAAAAAATAATAACAATTTCATTTGGACACAGTGCTGCATGACCGCGCAATTGTTATTGCCAGTGCCCAGTAGGCAAGTGATTAAAGGTCCTTTTCTGCAACAACATTTTTTTTAAGATCAAATACACTCTCAACCTTTTCAAAAGTGATTACCGCCCAATTCTTTAAACCCCACAAAAAGAATCCAACTTGAGATGAAATGTCAGCCCACCAGATGACTGGTGGCCCTAACTGCCTATAGTGTGGGGTAAGGGGGTGATAAAACTGTAAGTGACAAGAGGAATGTGATAATGAGTACAGATATCAGTAGTATTACAGGCTTGATTTAGGTATGTTAGTTTAAACGGAAAAAAGAGTGGAAAATAAGCTGGTCTGTATTTTGAGTTTAAAGTTAAATACCTGTCTAACACAAACTATTCTTAAAAATGTCCTCTCCCCCTTCTACGTAACTTGCCTACCCTATAATCCCCAGACTGCAGGATCATATGACCAGCTTGGAGCAGACTGAAAAATGTAAGTATCTCGGTTTTTCCTTTTACATAGGGAAGGCAGGATAGGCAGCAGGAGTGGAGAGGGAACATTTTTAAGAATAGTTGAGGTGGCCATAGATGGATCCAAATTTGCCCGGTTCAACAGGGAGAGGCCAAATTTCATTCCATCTATTCCCACTTAAGTGAAGTCTATAACAATGGGCTTTTGTTGAATAAGATGTTAAAAAAATGTCATTTGATCAGTGGCTGCAGTACTGATCAGAGTATTCTGACAGTAGAGGAGTCCTAATACAATAGTCAGAATACAGTAGCATAGTTGGTAAGGATCCCTATGTCTGCGTCACTTGTGTGGATGGAGGAATCCAGTTGGGTTTTTGTTTTAATTGACTTGCTGGCTAATTAAAAAAAAGGTCCATAATTATAACTGCTTAGTATCAGGTTTTTTTTTTCTAGTAAAATGGAATTAAACATTTTTACATTTCTTCTTTTATGAAAAAAAAATTAAAATGGCATGAAGTTGTTTTACATGATGTTGATCAATTATCTTTCTATCGCTGCCTTCTACTTTCAATTAATAGTTTATTTCAGTATTCCGAGCAGTATAACTAATCACATGGGGTTTTTTTTTTTACTAGTCAATTAATAGGGCAATGCAAAAACCCCATGAAGAATACAGCATCGGAGTATTGGATATCTATGGGTTTGAAATTTTTCAGGTACTTATCTTTATTTCTTATGCATAGTTCTCCAGTTATACAATACAATGAATATTACAATGACAGCGTTATTTGAATTGTACATTTAGTACACTTGTGGCTTAAAATCTGTATTTGAGGGGTGAGTTAACACACTCTCTCCAGAGCCAGATGTACTGCTCCTGGAACTGAAGAGCACAGCAAGGAGCCAAGGTAAGGTAAGTGTATTTGAGGGGTGAGTTACACACTCCTCCAGAGCCAGATGTACTGCTCCTGGAACTGAAGAGCACAGCACAGGAGCCAAGGAAAGGTAAGTGTATGCTGGGTGAGGGTCTGGCTTAGGCCTTCACCTCTGACAATTCAGCAATGGATTGCTGCCATTAATCTTCCCTTACCCTACAAAAATGTTATATACACACACAGAAGATGTCCTGCCAAATACAATAAGATTTGGGGTAGATGGTTAGAGCACCCCTCCACCGGCAATTTGGATAACTTCGAAGATGCTTAGTAGATATCCTCTCTGTTTATTTTTACATATAGCATTGTTCCATGATTATCTTCACTATGTACCGTAATCCATTATTTCTGTCATCAGGAATCCATTATGGTATGGAGTTATTTGTATTGCTCCTTTGTACATTATGTATGCTTATCTTTTTAATAAAGAGCTTGTTTTTTACTTGAAAAAGTTGCTGGGTGGAGAGATATGCATTAAGGGGTTGGTTTAAGTGTTAAGTCATCTGGCAGAGAGGGGGTTAAAATGTATGTATGTAAACACATAAATGTAATATACTGAATCTTACCAGTCCTTATATGTGGTAGTAGCCTTAGTTAGGTTAGCTAGTAGCATTAGTTTTTATTTTTTGACTAATTACTAGTGTAAACTTCTTCATCTTTGTTGTGTATACTAATGATCTTATCAATTAACCAAGTAATGAAAATGAACAGAAAAAGGAAGATATGTTTAAAGTCCAGGCCATTTGGCAACAATGCTGCCCTCCATAGGTACAGTGGGAAATTAGCGTAGCCACAAAGGGGTAGGAAGAGTGGTATTTTGCAGCATTACTAGGTGAAAATAAAGTGAAAACACGTGAAAAAAAAGAATTAAAGTGTAACTTTAGGCAAAACCTTTTTTCACTTTTGGATAGAGTGGGGAAAGGTTAGACCATCTGTTAAAGTGATACTAAACCCACAACAGTAAAAAAAACAGTCTGTATATGCAGTCAGGGGCATATTTACCACAAGGCAAGCAAGGCATTTGCCTAGGGCGGCATTTTTCAGGGGGAAGCACCACCCCCTGGAAGAAGGGACGCTTGTGGTATGGGGACCAGGTGGGAGTCTAGAGAGGGGGCGGACTGCTTGATTGTGTATGCAGAGCCCGACTCTTGTTCCCAGGGATGTCTGGAGCTTGGAAGGTGAGTGACTTTAACTCCAGGGGGATCTGTGTTGGTGGAAGGCTCTCTCGGGTGGGGGGAATAGGGGTGTTGTTGGTCAATGTTAGGCTCTCTCTTTTTGTGTTTCATAGGGCAGCACAAAACCTAAATACACCACTGTATGCAGTAAAGCATACTTGATATACTCACTGTAGAACCTAAGGGGTTAATCATCTGCATTGTGTAAAAGTGCTGTTTGATCCTGATAAGACATATCGTGTGGAGTCACTCTGCACATGCTCAGTTTGGTATGTATTGCTAGAGAGGTTTTTTTTTTTTTTGGGAGAGTGCATGTGATCAGCACAGGGCCAATCAGTACTGTCTAGACAGAGATCAAGGGTTCTGCATCCTCCTAGAGCAGCAGTCACTAAATGGCAGACCGTGGTCTGCAAACGGCCCCAGCAGTGCTGCCGCCCGTACCGCCAGCCCGCAATGACAGATCTGCTGCTGAGTAGGGCGGTCGTCACAGCAACATGACATCACATGTGCGCCCCGCCCATTTTAGCTCACTTTCTCCCTAGCTCCCGCTCCCTGTCTGTACACAAGCGTCCAGCAAGGATCCCGGCACAGCTCCTGTCTGCCCTCAAGGTAGGGTGTAGTCTTACAGGGGCACTCTGATGGGCACATTGAATGTTAAGGGGCACTCTGATGGGCACAACATAGAATGTGCCCATTAGAGTGCCCCTTAACATAACATTAGCCTATCAGAGTGCCCCTTAACATAAAATGTGCCCATCAGCATGCCCCTTAGAAGTCACAAGACTGCTCTAACTCTGATGAGAAAAGGTATTTAGCAGTTTATATTTACTAAAATAATTGCATTTCTGTGTACTGTGGGAGACCAGATATAGTGAATGCAGGGTCCTGGGTTTAGTAACACTTTAAGTTTTTATTGCTATCTGTGTCCCCATTGGGGAACTTCACCCCTCTTTTCGAAATGAAGGGGGGGAATCTAAAATTTAGAGTTGTCTTTGGAACAACAGGTAAGAGGTAATCATCCAAAGAGAAAAATTGTGAACTTTGGAAGATTCCTGTAACTTCCTGTTGAGTCTTTCAGGAAGTCCAGGGAAATGTCCTCAATAGTACACAGACAGCAAACACTTTACAGGGTTTAAACCCTTTCCTACTCTATAGAAAACCATAGAAAAAAAGTTTGGGGTATAGATAGGAAACTGCATACTTTATACTTGTTGTCAGTATTCAAAACTACCAGCACCAAAAAGTAACGTACTAACCTCCATGTTTCCGAAGTTTCATGATTAGTTTAATACACACATACTGTACAGAATAATTGCACATTACAGTTATATACAATAATAAAGGAGAAATATTACAATATGTTGAGGTTGCTATTCTGCCACATACGATAGAAGCAATTTGGAAAATCAGTTTTCACAAACTAATATGTATCCCATCTCTGTTGTACACAGAAAAATGGCTTTGAACAATTTTGCATCAATTTTGTGAATGAAAAGCTGCAGCAGATCTTCATTGAATTGACATTAAAAGCTGAGCAGGTACATTTGACTACAGTCTAAATATGTTATTTAATCACGTTTTTCAGGATAGAAAACAGCTGTAAGAAAATTGTTGAGCATAAAAATGTTAAAAGGCTAACAATCAGTATGATCTATGCCTAACTGGATGTTTGTAGATTGTCAGCATACTACAAAAAAGCACAGACTTATCAAGAAGCACTGATCTATCAAATAATTAACAGTCTTTCCTATACCAACAGACATTATATAACCGTAAAATTAGGATGTTCCATCAAAACCCATTTTCACCCAATATAAGAAGGGTTTTCCAAAGATGATTGCTAGGCAGATTTAATTACAGGATATAAATATGCGTGTCTATGTGAATATCTGTTTTTCTCTCCTGAGAAAAAAATGTGATTAAAATCTAAAGAGAGTAGACCTTTTCTTGTACCACATGTTAGTTAGATGACATTGACTCAGCAACTAGGCTTAGCTTTGTTGTCCCATAGTAAATCCCCTTGTGTGTGGCACATGAGTTTGCAAATCTCAATCAGACCATAATTTGAAGAATATGCCAATCAAACATTCCATATTCCTGATGTGTGTCTGCTGTACCATGCACTTGTATGAAAAAGTATCCTGTTCTCTTTGTATTGCTTTCTTTGTGTGAAATCCTTGGTGTCCCTCTGCTTTCCTATTAAAAACGGACTACACTAAGCAGGAGAGCACAGCGTGGTCAGTTTTCTAGCTATGCTTTGAACTCAGCCTGCTCTCCTCCAATGATCAGACTTGTCTGACACACCGTTCTCCTGCACAGACATTCACTGGGAAGACCAGTGTGCTCCTGTTTCTCCAACCCTAGCTCTCTGAGCTCCTTATGCAGCTGAGAACAGAGGGTATTTGATCACTTGATCACAAAAAAGGGAAAAAAGGTATTTATAATGTTTTTAATAAGTATACACTAATGCTGTGTCTTTTATTTTATTTCGAATGGGTTGTTATACAAGGTGAGGGTTCACATATACTTTAACATTTTTTGCAACAGTCAGATCATTATTAAATATCCAACTTTAGGTGTCACTCTAGACTCCAATCTATCCTTCCAGCCCCATGTCCAATCGCTGGCAAATTCATGCAGACTCCACCCCTGCAACATCTCCAAAATACATACGTTCCTAACCCCAGACACTACTAAACAACTCGTTCACTCCCTTATTATCTCACGTCTGGACTACTGCAACTCCCTCCTCACTGGCCTGCCTCAGCACAGACTCTCCCCGCTTCAGTCTATCCTGAACTCAGCGGCCAGACTCATCCACCTTACCAACCGCTCCGTATCCGCCACCCCCCTCTGTCATTCCCTCCACTGGCTTCCGATTGCCCAACGCATAAAATTCAAACTACTAACATTGACATACAAAGCCATTCATAACGCTGCCCCAAACTACCTCACCGACCTGATATCCAAATACCACCCAACCCGTACTCTTCGCTCCTCACAAGACCTCCTACTCTCCAGTTCTGGTCTCCTCCTCCCATACCCGACTCCAGGACTTCTCCAGGTCTTCCCCCATCCTCTGGAACTCACTACCCCAATCCATCAGACTGTCATCTACCCTCCTCACCTTTAGGCGCACCCTGAAAACCCATCTCTTCAGGGAAGCCTAACCCGCCCTCACCTAACAGCCGATCTCCTCCTACCACTCCATCCCCCACAGCCATTTCCTCTTGTACTACTATCCCCTCCCTCCTAGATTGTAAACTCCAAGTAGCAGGGCCCTCGAACCCCTCGTGTATTGTATTGTTACTGTATTGTCTCATGTACTGTCCCCTACTATAATGTACAGCGCTGAGCAAACTTTTTGGCGCTATATAAATACTGTATAATAATAATAATAACTTTGTTTTAAAGTCTATAATTAGCTTAACTATACTATTACAAATATGTATAGTCAATTATGTATGTCATTGAGTCATTGTGAATTTACCAGTATGCTGGCCACTAAATGCAAGCATACGATTGCTCACTCTGGAACAGGAAAACACATAGACTCGCTGCTGACAATCACAAATCACAGGCTTTAATGATTTGTTCACTCTTTAGAGCAATAAAAAAGTACTTATACATTTTATAATAAATATTTTACAGTAAAATGTGGGATCTTTGTACAGAAATTCTGTATTATACTTTAAATTTTATTTTTAATAGTTAAGAAAATGTTGACCCATTGTACATCATGTGTGTATTAAACTTCATTTAGGAAGAATACATTGCAGAAGGCATTAAATGGTCTCCAATTGACTACTTCAATAATAAGGTGGGTGTGTGACCTCATTGAGAACAAACTGGTGAGTATAGCAACAAATATACAACAAGGATTGTGACAAAAGCACAGTATCAGGGGGGTACTAATGTAACTCATCCATGATGTGATTTCTCTATAGTCTGATTGGCTGATGTGGGTTCCATTTAAAACTTCATTAATACTGGGCATATGATTGTAATGATAATGTGTACTCTGTTCTTTTTCCTGTCAGAATCCTCCAGGAATCATGAGTGTGCTAGATGATGTTTGTGCCACTATGCACGCTACAAGTGGGGGCGCAGACCAGACCCTGTTACAAAAACTCCAAGCTGCTGTGGGGACACATGAACACTTTAATAATTGGAATTCTGGCTTTGTTATTCATCACTATGCTGGAAAGGTAAACAGCAATAGATTAGATCAGGGGACTCCAAACTTTCTAAACCAAGGGCCAGTTACTTTTACTGTCCAGGTTTGGTGGTCAGTGAGATAAAAAAATTACAAAGCACCTGTGCCCAGTAGGTGGAGGAATAGTGCCCCAAGAATGGAAGGAATAAGACCCCATTGTTGGTGTCAGTCAGAGGAACCGTGCCCAAACAATCATATCAGTGGGAGGAATAGTGCCCCATGTTTGGTGTCAGTAGGAGGAATGGTGCCTCATCATTGGTGTCAGTAGTGGAAATAAGTTCCCCATCTTTGTTGTCAGTGGGAGTAATAGTGCCCTATCTTTGGTGTCAGTAGGAGAAATGGTGCCCCATTGTTGGTGTCAGTGGAAGGAATAGTGCCCCATCAGTAGTGTCAGTGTGAAGAATTGTACACCACTTATGGTATCAGTGTAAGGAATTGTGCCTTATCAATGGTGTCAGTGGGAGGAATAGTGCCTCTTAGCAGTGGGAAGAACAGTGTCCCGAGGGCTGGATAAAGGCAAGCAAAGGGCCACATTCGGCCCACTGGCCACTGTTTGGCGATAACTGGATAAGTTAAATGCAAAGATAGAAGTCTAAGTTAGGGAAGCCTGCACTTATATACACTATATTGCCAAACATATTGGGACGCCTGCCTTTAAAGCAGGCCTTGAAAGTTCCACTCGCCTGCTTGCCAATGGCGAGTGGAAATTATGGTGGGGGCGAGTGTGTTCCCAGGGCTGTCCTGCTGAGCAGGCTCGGAGCTCAGGCCGGATTTGTCACTTGCCCTGGGAGCCGTCAGACTGCTCAATAGCTGAGCGCAGTGAAAGCAAAGGAAGGAGTGTGTGCTGTGCTCTCTGCCTATCCCTAGAGTGCAGTACCTGGCTCTGTGAGTGAACAACGAAGTATTTCAACTTTTTATAGGTGTGTGTGTGTACATGTGTGTATCTGTACATTTGTCTGCGTGTATGTACATGTGTGTATATGTACATGTGTCTGTGTGTGTGTATTTCTGTGTATGTACATGTCTGTGTGTATGTACTTGTATGCATGTCTGTGTGTGTGTACATGTGTCTCTGTGCGTGTGTGTACATGTGTTTCTGTGTGTGTGTGTATATACACGTCTGTGTGTGTGTCTGTGTGTATGTACATGTGTCTGTGTGTGTGTACATGTGTCTCTGTGTGTGTACAGGTGTTTGTGTGTGTGTACATGTCTGTGTGTGTGTATATGTTTCTATGTGTGTATGCACATGTGTCCGTGTGTATGTACATGTGTGTATCTGTACATGTGTCTGCGTGTATGTACGTGTGTGTGTGTATGTACATGTATCTGTGCTTGTGTATTTCTGTGTACGCACATGTGTCTGTGTGTGTATACATGTGTCTGTGTGTGTGTGTCCATGTATCTGTGTGTGTGTGTACGTGTGTGTATGTATGTACATGTCTGTGTGTATGTACATGTATGTGTGTGTGTACAGGTGTCTCTGTTTGTGTGTGTGTGTGTGTGTGTGTTTTGTACATGTGTCTGTATATAAACCTACATGTATGGGTGGTTTCGTCAGGTTCAGGATTATGTGGTTATTATGGGTGGTAGAGTATGGAGCGTTGAGGTACTGCTGGGTTGGATAGTAGGTAGGATATGCTTGGTAGAGTTATGGTTTTGTGAGTGAAAAATTATGGGGGGTTATGGTTGTATGCAATGCATGGTCTAAGTATGATGGAGTGTTTAGGGGGGCATTGGAGGCCCTGATGTAATGTGGGGGGACTCTGGGGACCGTGATGTAATGTGGGTAACATTTCACAGTGTCATTTCATGAAATTATTTACGAAGCCGTGTTTAGGGGGGAATTAGGGGTGTAGCAGGGTAGGGGTTGGGTGGGGCAACTGGTGGCGAGTAACTCTTAAGGCCTGGCTAGTAGCTCAGGACTTGAAATTTTAAGCCCTCCTTTACAGGCACATGAACTTTAATGGCATCCCAGTCTTAGTCTGTAGGATTCAATATTGAGCTAGCCCACCCTTTGCAGCACTCTTCTGGGAAGGCTGTCCACAAGGTTTAGGAGTGTATCTATGGGAATGTTTGAACAATCTTCCAGAAGCGCATTTGTGAGGTCAGGCACTGATGTCAGATGAGAAGGTCTGGCTCGCAGTCTCCGCTCTAATTCATTTTAGAGTTGTTCTATTGTGTTGAGGTCAGGACTCTGTGCAGGCCAGTCAAGTCCTCCACCCCAAACTCTCTCATCCATGTCTTTTTTGGACCTTGCTTTGTGCACTGGGGTGCAGTCATGTTGGAACAGGAAGGGGCCATCCCCAAACTGTCCCCACAAAGCTGGGAGCATAAAATTGTCCAAAATGTCTTGGTATGCTGACGCCTTAAGAGTTCCCTTCACTAGAACTAAAGGACCAAGCCCAACCCCTGAAAAACAACCACACACCATAATCCCTGCTCCACCAAACTTTACACTTGGCACAATGCAGTCAGGCAAGTACCGTTTTCCTGGCAACCACCAAAACCAAACACGTCCATTGGATTGCCAGACAGAGAAGCATGATTTGTCACTCCAGAGAACACGTCTCCATTACTCTAGAGTCCAGTGGCGGTGTGCTTTACACCAACTGCATCCGACACGTTGCATTGCACTTAGTGATATAAGGCTTGGATGCAGCTGCTCAGCCATGGAAACCCATTCCATGAAGCTCTCTACGCACGGTTGTTGTGCTAATCTGAAGGCCACACCAAGTTTGGAGATCTTTAGCTACTGACAGACAGTTGGTGACTTCTGCGCACTGTGCACTTCAGCATCCGCTGACCCTTGCTTCCACTTTGTTATAATACCAATAACAGTTGACCATTTAATATTTAGTAGCAAGGAAATTTCACGGATTGCTTATTGCACAGGTGGTAACCTATTACGGTACCATGCTTGAATTCACTGAGCTCCTGAGAGTGACCCATTCTCTCATAAATGTTTGTAGAAGCAGTCTGCATGCCTAGGTGCTTGATTTTAAACACCTGTGGTCATGGAGGTGATTGGAACACCTGAATCCAATGATTTGGAGGGGAGTCCCAATACTTTTGGCAATATAGTGTATGTTCTTGTGTCTTATTTATGGACCTCTTTCATATAAGAACATACTAGTATAATGTGTTAGCATAGCTGTATATGAATGAATGATGAATCTATAAGCATGGAATAAGACTGTTACAGTGTGAAGATTACAAACACTGCATGCTTGTGTAATATCTTTTATTGTGTCTCTCCAGGTATCATATGATATTGAGGGTTTCTGTGAGCGAAATCGAGATGTTTTGTTCATAGACCTCATTGAATTGATGCAGAGCAGTGAGTTGTAAGTAGGCTATAGTTTACTCCATATATTTGCTTTGACTGTTCATACTTCACGGCAGTACTTGGTCTGAGCAAGTACAATGCCAAGGGCTAAATAACCCAATGTCAAAAGCCAAATAAACAATTTCTTTATATTCTTGTTCCATTTTTATTATAAGTATAATGGTCAGATTTTTACTTCAAGAACCATGCAAGATAACCACTCCTATAGGGTGAAGAGTAAGGGTACCTTAATTACAAACTTTGATTTGTTGTTTGAGAATATTGTGTTGTTTCGTATCTGCATATGTACATATAGTTTGGGATTGAATTCCCAAATTTGATACTGTTCTGCACAATGCAAAACAGCATATTGTGTTTCCACTGCCCTTAGGTCTAACTATTCATGTTTTACAAGCTAAAAAATGAGTAAAAATGGTATAACAACAATTTAAGAACCAAAATAATATTGGGAATTTATTTCTACTTAGTAATTTTATACAGATTCTTTTCCCGGAAAAACTGGATACAGACAAGAAAAGTAGACCTACAACAGCAAGCTCAAAAATTAAGGTATCAATATTTTAATGCATTACTTTTTCACTATTACATAACTGTTATTAATATATTATATCAATGTTAATACATCCAGTAATGTTGGTACATGTTTTTTGCTGCCAATAATCTGGTACTTCTAAGCTATGAGTATAGGGATTTTGGCACCAAACCTCAATGCACAGGAATGCGCAAACTGTGGTCCAGTGTGATAAAGTGCCATTTATTTTGTGTGCTGCCCATATCCTATGCCATAAACTATATGACTGCCTGACCACTGTCTACTGTCTGTGGAGGACTTTGGACTTCAAAAATAAACATCAGTTTTTCTTAGCCAAAGCTGGCTATACAGGTAGCTATCCAATAGATAGGTGAATCTATGAAAAAAATTTCCTGTTGCCAGTTATTGTATTCAGACAGCCGGCACTCACAGCTGTCAGAATGCCCAAACAGTGGCTGCAGTCACTGTTTAGCTGGCTTTTTTCTGCCCCGCTCCTTCAATCCAAGTTGAGCTGACTGATTTCAACAGGGCCACCCATGGCTCAAATTTTGGTCAATTCCTGTGACATTCAAGCTGTGTATGGCTGGCTTAAGCTTAGCACTGGTAATCATGTGAGAATAAATATATTAACAGAAATATGTAGTAATCTAACATTACAATGTGATATGTTCATCTTTGTTGCAGAAACAAGCCAATGATCTTGTAAATACCTTAATGAAGTGCACACCTCATTATATTCGTTGTATTAAACCAAATGAGACAAAGAGGTCTAAAGACTGGGAAGAAAGCAGGTATAAAAACACAGGACGTTCATTGTGGAAAACTACTTTTCACTAGTATTTGTGGCTCATAATTATCAGGTTTATATTTATTACCAGGCTACCTATGTACATACTTGGGCTTAGAAGACACACTTGCTGTGATGTTTTAGTAAAGATGGTCATGTTTGTGGATACAGCATATAAGCATTGCTGATAGCATTTACAAATTAGGTCAAGAAGCAATTTGTCTCTGAGCTTCTGAGACATGAAGTGACCTGTGCTCAATCCCGACACTTTTGGCTGGATCAAGCACTGATATGATGACTATGCCCATATGGAAGAAAAATATATTTGAAATATATTTTAAAAATATTCTTCCCAAATATATTGCCATATATTTTAAAAGCTACAATTTTGGTCATATTAATATATTAAAAAAAATAATATATACAGTATATATATATATATATATATATACACACACACACTACATGTTGAAATGCATTTTTATTACAAAACAGATGAAAAATATACTGTATGTCTTTAAAAATCTACATTTTGGAATGCATTTTTTATATGTTAAAAAAATCTGAAGAATATATTTAAACAGTTTGGCTGTATGCCATCCCATGATTTCTTACAGCAGCGCTGTCGATAAGTCAGGACTAGTTCTCACTCCTGCAGCTACAAGGTTGGCCAAGTTGAGGGTTACTCTGCCATCTTTTCTAGGCTCAAACTTCTAACTCCTAGGCCTTGTTCAACAAGCATATAACTAGGCATTTGCATCATGGAATTTATTTATTACAGGTACTTATATAGTGCCATCAACTTATGCAGGATAGATAGATAGATAGATAGATAGATAGATAGATAGATGCACATCAGTTCCTGCCCTCAAGGAGCATACAATCTAAGGTCCCTAACTCACATTCATAAATACACATACTAGGGCCAATTTTGAGAGGAGCCAGTTAACCTACAAGCATGTCTTTGGAGAGTGGGAGGAAACCGGAATACCCGAAGGGAACCCATGCAGGCACAGGGAAAACATGCAAACTCAATGCAGGTAATGCCATGGTTGGGATTCAAACCAACGACCCTAATGCTGCTAGGTCAGTCATTTAGGGGCAGCAGTAATACCAACACTAAATTACAAATCCCTGTTAGCTTTCACATTGAGTTTACATTTGAAATGAAATGATGTTATGGCACTTTCTCCTTGTACATCCTCCTCAGGCAGAGCTAAAGCAGAGCTTACCTGCCTCCCTGGGGCAGCAAGATCACTTTCATAGTGATCTATTGCTGGATAAATGTTGTCGTAGAGACATAGAAACACCAGATTGTCTAGATCAGTTCCCCGCTGACCAGATCAAAACCTATGCAGTAAAATAAGAAAATAAAGTGTAGAAAAAATGGAATAAAAACATAAATTCTATATACTGTATATACACTATATTGCCATAAGTATTGGGCCACCCCTCCAAATTACTGGATTCAGGTGTTCCAATCACCTCCATGCCCACAGGTGTATAAAATCAAGCACCTGAGGGGGGGTCTGCTGGCGGAGGGCTTATCGGAATCTGGAAGCCCCCTTTAAGAAGCGGGCCCCTAGATCCCACCCCCCATATGAATGAGTATGGGGTACATTTTACCCATACTCATTTACCCCCAAAAAATGTCAAAAACAAAAACACAGAGACAGTTTTTGACAAGTGTCTTATTAAAAGAAAAAACTCAGATACAATGACGTCCAAGTAAATCCGGCGTCAATCATGATGAATGAGGGACGCTACCAGGTAACCCCCTCCCCTTGTAACGTTAGTGACTGAAGCATGCTGGGTCAATGATATCACAAGAGGGAAAGGTCACCTGGTGACATCATTGGATGGCCCCCGCCCCTTTGTTTATTTAGCGCTGCCTATGAAGTGGAGCTCTCTGATGGCGGGAGCCAGCATAAGGTGCAGAGTTTTTTTTTCCTTTAGGTCAGCAGCGGCGACATTTATTGTGATTGATATTGGATTTACTTCAGGGGACATTGTTTTTGTTTTGTCAAAAATTGTGTTTGCATTTTTACTTACTTCTGACACTTTTTTGGTGAATGAGTAGGGGTACTATATACCCCATACTTATTCGCATAGAAGGGGGCCTGAATCTGGGGGTCCCCTTGTTAAAGGGGGCTTCCAGATTCTGGTAAGCCTTCCACCTGCTGACCCCCACAACCACCGCCCAGGGTTGTGAGGAAGAGGCCCTTGTCCCCCAAGGCACCCCCTCATGTTAAGGGCATGTGCCTTGTATGCTTCAGAATGGAGGAAAGCTTGCTCGTCACCCCCTTTCCTGGCCTGCCAGGCTACATGTTCTGCTAAGGGACTGATATGGATTTTGAGGGGGGCGTCCATGCCATTTTTTTAAATTATTTTGGCATGGGGTTCCCCTCAAAGTCATACCAGACCTGAGGGTCTGGTATGGATTTTGAGGGGAAACCTATGCCATCTTTTTTTAAATACCGGTTGCATGGGGTTCCCCTTAAAATCCATACCAGACTGGAAGGGCCTGGTATGGATTGAGGAGGTACCCCCATGTAGTTGTTTTTTTTTTCTCAAGTTTTAATTACTGCCAATTATTTTGTTTACATTCAGCTGTCATGAGTCATCAATTGTTAAGGATGCAGGTGGCTGGCTTGCTAGCCCGTTCCTTAACAACCAGTTATACACTGCTAAATGCCGACACAAAAATGAAAAACCACTGGCAAAAAACTTTAATATTGAGCGTTTTTTATCCAGCGTTTTTCCATAATTTTTTTCACCTCCTAGTGTGCATGGAGCTTTACATTGTGGAGGGGTACAGAATGAAGGGATCTTGTGTCCCACAAAACAGTGGGGGTCCCTTTTATAACTGTTCTTATCTGGCAACTTCTATCAGCAATACCGCTACCCATCTATGACTTAGGTATACTTATGGTAAGAAATTACACCATTATACCAACTGACACTACGAGGTGTCACAGAGAGAGGTTGCTCGGGGGGGGGGGGGGGGGGCCCATCTAAATTTTGCTATGGGGCTCTACGAATTGTAGTCACAGCCTTGACCTGTGGTGGTAACCTTGAGATATCAGTAGAATAAAAAAAAAGCATGACCTAGAAATGCCAGTAGCATAAATAAAGATGTGGTTTAATTTTAGTGATAGGAGTAGCATATATAAATCTGTGATGGTATCCTAGAGACACAAGTAACTTACATTACACTATGGTGGTGGTGGTCTACAGATACCAGTAGCATACGGTACATTAAGCTGTGGTGGTGGCCTAGAGATACCAGTAGCATACATTAAGCTGAGGTGGTGACCTATAAATACCTAGAATGCATTAACCTATGGTGGTGGATCAGAGATACTGTACCAGTAACATAAAGAAAACTATGTTTGTAGCCTAGAGATACCAGTAGCATACATGAAGCTGTGGTGTTGATACCAGTAGCATAACTAAAGCTATGAAAATTACCATTGTGAATATTTTTGGTTTTTCAGAGTGAAACATCAAGTTGAATATCTAGGCCTAAAGGAGAACATTCGTGTACGCCGTGCTGGTTTTGCTTATAGAAGGGTTTTTAATAAATTTCTTCAAAGGTATAATATTGATTACCACATTCACAGTTCATTATCATTTCGATATTTATAATATTGATGACCATATGCTATTACCAGATACGCTATCTTGACACAAGAAACATGGCCCAGATGGCGAGGGGGATGAACGGCAAGGAGTGCAGCATCTCTTGAGGTCTGTAAATATGGATGCTGATCAGTACCAAATGGGAAGAACCAAGGTGTTTGTAAAGAATCCAGAATCGGTATGCTTTCTAAATGCTCACCATCAGTATGAAATATGCTTATTGCATTTTCTATTTGAAAAACAAATTTTTGCAGTACTATACAATCATGATTATATATACAGACTTCACTGCATTGTTTCAATATGCAATAGAAAATAGCTGTTTAATATTTACTTGTTCTTAGGCCCCCTTCAGAGGAGATGGACCACCTGCTCAGCAGGGGGGGGGGAATCTCTCTACTGATCACAGTAGTGGATGACAGGTCTGTGTCTGCTCCTCTGCTGCAGAGAGGACACAGACACAGCCCGCTGACTTCTATAGGGGCTTGTCTGTTTCCCCCCCGACTGTCATCCGATCTGATGGATGGATGGGGAACGGATCCCTATCCATCTGGTTTTGGCATACAGGATCGGATCAGATGCCAACGGGTGTCAACGGAAATCTGTCCGCTGACACCAGCCGGTCCATAGAGGTCTACAGATGGTCTTACCGGGTCCGCCTAAAAAACTGACGGGCTGACCCGATCAGACCTTCAGTGTGAAAGGGGCCTTAACTGTAAAATTGTAAAGGATCATGTCAATGGGCATTGCTTTCCTGGGTTTGGAATGCAGATCAGTCACAGGTGATCAAAATCCATTTGACTTTAATTGAGCAGTACACAAAGCTGCCTTTGATCTGCTTTATGATGCTGTGTTCTTTGGACACAACACATCCTAGTGACATGTATTTTAACCATATGCAAAGCAGGTCAAAGGAGCCTTTTTCTAGTCAAATGCTGAATTAGCTATTCAAATGTATGCATTTACATTGAACAACAATCACAGCATTTGCCAAGAATGCCCATCTACATAAGTCCTAATAATGGTGCATATCCTGTCAATGAGACTGCTGTGTGCTTTTACTTGAATGCAGAGTAGTTGCTGGAAAATGCTGAACAGTCAAAGCACACAAGCATAGTATGATCCCATATAGAGTTGTAATATCCTAATAAAGGAGCTTTTGTCAGGGGCTGAGGCTGGGTATATGCTTTGTCACAAAACAAATAGTAGCATTGTAAACTGGTGAAGGCAGTTGTAACAGTAGCAACAGCTGTAATCTGGATATTCTGCTTTAAAAGGTAACTGCACTTTCGTGGAAAAAAAATGGCAAATTAAAAAAAAATATATAGCATATACAGTTGTGACACAAGTAATATAGTATTTGAATGTTATTAAAAACTACCTTTCCTTTTCAATCTGCAGTGCTGTAATCATCTGTAAAATGCAATGCAATATGGCAACCTAGAGGCATTCTGTACACAGATGGTGTACAGAACAACCTCTAGATACTGTATGTCATTTCCTGCTTGTGTGATTGGCTTCCCACCACATGGAAGAAAAATATATTTTAATTATATTTTTAAAATATTCTTCCCAAATATATTTATATATATTTGAAATGCTTCAATTTTGGCCATATTCAATATATTTCTATATATCTATATATCTATATCTATATCTATCTATCTATCTATCTATCTATATATCTATATATATATATATATATATATATATATATATATATATATACACACACATACACTGTATGTTGAAATGTGTTTTTATTACAAAATATATGAAAAATATTTTTAAAAATACATTTTCAAATATACTGTATGTCTTTTGAAATACAATTAATCTGCATTTTTGGAATGCATTTACAAATATATGTAAAAATATATGTTAAAATGACTTTTTTGTTAAAAAAAATTTGAAAAATATATTTAAAAAAAATATATTTTAAAAAATATTTTTCATATATTTTGTAATATATAAAAAATGCATTTCAACATGCAAATATATTGAATACGGACAAAATTGTAGTATTTCAAATATATGTTAATATATTTGGGGAGAATATTTTTAAAAAATATATTTCAAATATATTTTTCTTCCATGTGGGTTAGTGATTTTCCCAGAAGTCTGCACTAAGATTAAGTCAGATTTTGGGCATCCCCTGCAACAAAAATGTCATTTTTGGTGAGATATTCCCAATGGGGCATTTTAGGATGCAGACCCTGCCACTTTCCACATTAGAACTTTGAAAGTGAAGCAGCTGAGTGATAAATATACTATAAATAACTCTCCTTCACATTCATTTTGCACTTAAACACAGACAAACAGCTATTTCTTCAGAATAACAATAGGTAGGCATCTGCAACAATGTTTGCTTGCAATGCACATTGATCCCCCAAAGGGGAATGTTTTTATTTCTCAATAAAAGTGGAAGTGGAAAATTGAATAATCAAAACATATCCTTTAGCCTCCTGGCATTGGTTGTTTGGCTTCTCAGCAAGTGTGCCTTAATGCAAAGAAGCCGCATATAGCCGAAAAACAGAACTGTGTCAAGAGTGCACTGTGTGCACTCCCGGCACAGTTACCGGTGGCTAATGGAAAGCTCCCAATCTGTACTTGCTGTCAGGAGCTTTTCGATCATGTGACCACAGTCACAGCCAATCATGGTGGTCAAATGATCACAAACCCCACCCTGCTTCCTGGCACCTGAAACCCCTTACGGGACCTGGAGGCACTGGTGCCAAGAGGTTAAGAAGGAATGTTTAGTCTGCTCAATGTTTTAGAGATAAAACAGTTAAAGGATATTGGTTTTTATATAAATTACCTTTATCAATATGCGTCGATCTGGTCATAAACTTGAGGGCTCATCAAATAAACTGAACTAATTACCCCATCCACAAAGTCGAGGTGAATGACAATGGGCTGATTGAAAAAAAAACTGAATGGATTCGCCCATCCACATAAGCAAGGTGGATGGCAGCAGGCTGATCGAAAGAAAAACTGAACGGATTACCCCATCCACACAAGTGAGGTGAATGGAGGAATCCTCCCCACTGTGTTATTGTATTTTGCTGATCAGCATTGTAGCCAATTGGCTGCAGGAGCCGATCAAAGAAAATTTACCAGCAGTCCCGTTCGAGAGGATCATTAGATTGAACGGCCATAGAAGGATCAAAATTCGTACAGTCTCAGCTGAACAAGCCAAATTTCAATCCATCTACGGCCAGCTTTAGGACATATCCTAAATATCATTTTTAATTGTTTTTGTACATGGGGGGAGCTATATTTGCTCATGGTTTCCTGCCTTAAGGTAGAAGACTGTGAAAATGATTTACTAAAAGTGTAAAGGCTGTTCACTTAAAGTGAATATTAGTACATACGGTAAAGCTGTGTTCACTTTGAATATCGAATCATGTGCAAGGGAAATTTAAAAAACAAGTTCTTATCTAGCATGTGATCAGTTTTTGAAGTGAATACAGCTTTACCTTATTCACTAAGCTCAATAAACATACCAGAGGTGTAACTAGAACCTTCAGGGTCCCGGTGCAAGAAACCATGAAAGGCCCCCTGACCTTTGGTCCCAGGGTCCTTCACTCCGAGCCCAAGGCCATTCCCACTGATCTTGGAGCCCTTTACTCCTGTCACGGGGCCCTTTATTATGGTCCCGCAGCAGGACCCTTTCACATATTCTGCAGTGGGCCCCCTTCCTGCCATCTTGGGTTGCCACCTATTCTTCAAGTCAAACCTAAACACTTTTTTTTGTAGTATACACTATATATATATATTGTGATTAAATGACATTTCTAATCATGTGGATTTAATTACAAGAGACCCCCCTTACATCTGAATCCACAGAGTTATCCCTTTACATCTGAATCCACAGAGTTCCCCTTTATATCTGAACTCACAGGGTTCCCCTTTACATAAGAATCTGACATCTGAATCCACAGGTTCCCCTTTACATCTGAACTCACAGAATTCCCCTTTACATTTGAACTTGCAGAATCCCCTTTACATTTGAACTTTCAGAGTTCCCTTACACTTTAAAGGGGGGCTCTGCAGACTCTGATGTAAGCAAGAACTCCGGAGACTCTAATTTAAGGAGGAACACTGGAAGTCTGATGTAAGGAGGGGACTTACATCCACAGAATTTCATTGTAAGGGGGAGCTCTGTGGGCTCTGATGTAAACGGTGCTCTGGGAACCCTGATTTAAGGTAGGCTCTGATGTAAGGGGCAATGCTGTGAACTCTGGTGTAAAGGGGAGCTCGATGTAAGGGGGTCTCTGTTCACCAAAGCCCCCTTACATCAGAGTCCACAGAATTTTACTGTAAAGGGGAGCTCTGTGGGCTCTGATGTACGTGGTGCTCTGGGAACCCTGATTTAAGGTAGGCTCTGATGTGAGGGAGAATGCTGTGAACTCTGATGTAAGGGGGACTTTGGTGAGCAGAGACATCCTTACATCAGAGTTCCCCTTTACACCAGAGTTCACAGAGCTCCCCTTACATCTGAGTCCCCCTTACACTAGGGTACTCAGAGGCATGAGAGAAAAGGGAGGAAGGGGGGACACTTCAGTCAGCATACATGACGAGCTCACTCACCCCAGGAAGCAATGAGGCTCATGCATATCCTCTACAATGTAGTTGCCAGCTGCTGGGCTTTCCTGCCCAGTGCTCCCCTTTTTGAGAACAGTGCTGCCAGGGATTGGCGTGTGGGTGGGGCTACAGGCACACACAGAAGGAGAGGGGCGGGAGGAAGAGGAGGAGCAGATCCAGCTCTCTCTCTCCTCTCCTGTCTGTGCAAGGCAGGGGCGAGCTGTCAGTGCTGGGTCTGGGCACTTTCCCTTGCAAAGTGCAACTTCCCTTGCAAAGTGAACAGTCTTTGCATTTAATAAATCAATTCCTATGAGTTAGCTGATTGATTGCAAACCATGTGTGGCTGACATCTTAAAGTCTATAGCCAAAACGTTTTTTAGTTTTGGACAGAGCAAGAAAGTGTTAAAACCCCTACCTTTTTTTTCTGTCGTGTACCATTGGAGAAATTTTCTTTCACTTCATCTTCCAAAGTTACAGCAGGAAATCTCACAAAGTGAGGGGAATTCCTCTCTTAGCCCTGGTTCACACTGATGCAACACATGTCACATGATAAGTCAAAACATACTCATGTCAACATGTGCTGTGACTCAAGTCGCAGCAACAAAAAAAATAGCTCCTGCACCACTTTCCTGCGTCTTCCTTGCAACATAGACTGCAATGTAAAAATCACAAAAGTTGCAAGGGAGTCGCTTCTTTGTATTATCCTTGTGACTTTGACTGCAACTTCTGAGGGTTTTGTAAGTTCAATAATATGTGTCACAATCTGTTTTGGTATGAATTGCCAAATCCAAAGTTGCAAAACACAATAGTCGCATGAAAGTAGCATTGAAGTCACACTGAAGCCCCATTAAGTTGCAATGCCAAGCGCACAACTTTGGGGTTGCAGCAGTGTGAACCAAGCCTTAGATAGTTGTCCATGGAACAGATGTCCCCATCTGAAGATTTCCTCTTTCCTTTTGTTCTGGGGACAATTCTTAACATTTTGAAATCCTCCTTACTTTCTTTCTGTTTTACAGTGCAAACAGAGGATTGAGTAGTTCCCCAATAGGGACACAGGCAACAAATAAAAACTTGACAAAGTTCTAAACTTTCTCCACGCTATCCAAAGTAAAAAATGGATTTCCCTGGAGATGCACTGTAACAGTAATAACAGCAGTTAAAACCTTTTTACTAATAAAAAGAGATACAGGATAATTGTCCACAAAGCTCCCCTTACTAGCTAATCTACACATTTGTATGCTTAATACAATAACATAATTAAGGAAGCATAGACTTGAAAATATGTGTGAGTTGTATGAATAATTACTATTCCCTTTGAAAAATATTTGGGAAGATCTAGGTGCTGCTTTCCTGGCCTATAGCAATCGTATATTATGTCTGAAACTGCGGAGAAGTGCAGTGATTTATAAACAAATTTACCTAATTTTCTTAACTTATTAAGGATATAAATTGCTTATGAGTCTCGACAAAGTGTATTGTGAGTCAACAATTTTGTATAACTTCAAGAAAAAAGTAAATTTACCACAATCCTAGTCTATCCTAAGAAATGTCATCTAATAACATGTACTACCTGTACAGCTCTTCTTACTAGAGGAAATGAGAGAGAGAAAATTTGATACTTTCGCCAGAACCATCCAAAAAGCTTGGAGACGATACATTGCTAAGAGAAAGTACGAGCAAATGAGGGAAGAAGGTATGGAGAAATTATATAACTACAATAACATAAGTGCACCTATTCGGACAAAAAATCTAATGCAAATACTAACTTTCTGAAAGTCATTATTTGCACCGAGGTAAACAGGACCCCATGTGACTGTTCAAATCTGATTTATTTCAGGTGGTTATTTTTTTTCCTTTAGAAATAGCTTGTCTTGAAAGCACATATGCATGTATTTTTCATTTGCTGCTTTTGGCTCGCCAATAAAATCAGCTGTGTTTTTGTTTATAAAGAACCTGTTTACATACTACAGAAGAAGGACAAGGGTCATTACAGCCAATTCCTTCTGATTTTCACTGTAATGTGTATATTGCCCATACAAAACCTCAAGATATTATCATGGGCTGCCGTGTTTGCCTAAGACTTCCTTTCCTCTATTGCAGGGATCTCCAAACTTTGTAAACAAAGGGACAGTTTACTAGCATTCAGACTTTAGGGGGGGCAGACTGTGGCTATTGGGAGTAGAAAAGGTCCCAACATCTGGGGGGAATAGACAATACTCCATCTTTGGTGTCAGTAGGAGGAATAGTGCCCCATCTTTGGCGTCAGTGGGAGGAATTGTGCCCCATCATTGGTGTCATTGGGCCCCTTCATTGGTGTCAATGGGAGAAATTATGCCCCATTGTTGGTATCAATAAAAGAAATAGTGCCTCAAGGGGCAGATAAAAGCAAGCAAAGGGCCGCAGTTTGGAGATCACTACACTATTGGATAAGAATTATCTAACCTTATTGCAGAGATGGGAAATGATGAATGAGAGGGGAAAAAAACAATACACAGCTGTTTACCCCTCACATGCAGCAGTTGAAAAAATGTTCAATTCATCTGTGTTTTCTGCTAAATGAATGCTCACCTGTCCATATTGCTCATTGTACAGTCAATTCTGTCACAGTTGATTTCATGGCCCTTAGGGAACTTATGAAGAACAACTAGTCCTGATGGAAGATAGTGATAGTGACCATGATACAAACTAGGAAAGGGAGAAATTGGCAGAGAGAAAATTACTTTTGAACAAAAAGCTATTCTGCATCAAGCAAGAAATCCTAAAATATGAACATCATTCATTATTAAATGTCATTTAAAAATATTATTGGAAGGTTGTTATTCAATTCCTCTATGACTTTAAAAATAAAATGGAAAATGCAAAGAGAATGTTTTGTAGCTGTGTCAGAGAAGGGGATCCCAACGTACTACCACAAAGTAAATCATTCACTGTGATGAAATAGTGCTATGATTATGCAGAGTTGGCCAGTTCCCAAAATGGCTGAATATATTTAAAAAAATACCCAATAGCCTCAGTACTTCACCAAAAAAAGAAAGTTAGCAGAAAAAGTAGAATTTGCCCAGATATCCAATAATATTGTATTCTAGGCATGTTTATAGATGTTCTACACACAAATAATATGTAGAAAAGCAATGGGGAGTATGTTTGCTCTTATTTTCCTAAACAAATAAAAAATTATTATTACAAATGCAAAGAGCTAAAAAAAATGTGTAAACTATAGTGTGCTCTGTCATTGAATTGGATCAAGGGACAATATTGTCCAAATTGTTTACAGCGAACTGTTTCTTATATATTGCCATACTAGAAATATGGTGAACTGAGCGGGACTAAATAACACTGACCCTCAGGAAGAAGCTAAGCACAGCAAGTTTCACTTTGACAAGGATATTCCCCGCTAAACAACCAAGACAACCCAATGGAACATCAGATATCATCTAAACATTTAAAAAATCCTGCATTTTGGAAGGATCAGTCCCTAATTGAAATATTTAAAAAAAAATTAACATTGGTTAGTTTGGTGTGGTTATACTCATTAACTGTCAAAAAAAGATTTTTGAACTTTCTAAAGTACACTAAACATTTTAGGCATGCTTCATATTTAACAGAACAGGGAGACAAAACACCTGTAACACAGAATTTCCATGAAGCTTAATAAGAATTTTAGGCTTCTCAAAGTATTTACTGTATAAGTCAATTTTAACCAAGGACAATTAGGCTTGATTATTTAGGTATATGACAGTTGATTATGACCAAAGAATATAAGCACCCATCAAAGTAATTTTGCCACCCCTCTCTGAAAAACCCTCTACTAGCTTTCGATCACCCAACAAATAATATTCAAAATACTATCAATAACAGAGCCATTTACAATTCTGTCCCTGGCTACATCACAAGTCTTGCCTCAATACATCACCCAAACCATTCTCTCCGCTCCTTCCAAGAACTCCTGTTTTCTAGCTCCCTTGTCTCCTCCTCTCATAGTCACCTCCAGGAATTCTCCCATTCTCTGGAAAGCCCTACCTCAATCTGTCTGGCTAGCTCCCTCAGGCGATCCCTTAAAACTCATCTTGTCAAGGAAGCCTATCTCACCTCTACTTAACAACTGAAATTTAAATTCTCCCATCAGTTCATCCCCCACAGTTATTACCTTTTGTAATACTTGCCCTTCCCTTTTAAATTGTAAGGTCTCACAAACATGGCCCTTCTAACCCCCTTGTATTGAACTGTATTCTAACTGTACTGTCTGCTTATATTGTAAAGAGCTGCACAAACTGTTGATGCTATATAAATCTTGTATATTGATAAAACAACTCATCATGTTGTATATCAGTTATCTTTAATATTATGTAAATTATTAGACATAAGTATAAAGTGCTAGAAGCATTTAATTTTTTTTATGCACTTATACATATATAGTTCAGCTGTATGCCGAACTAACATCTGCAAGTCCCTTCACACCTCTTTGCTCTAAAATGCTCTTATTCAGTATAATAAAAGTGAAAACATCAACACAAAGCCTTGGATAACTATGTCAAATAAGCTCTTTTTGTGGCCTCTAGAAATCTGTGCAATAAAGGCTAATTGATCACTACCACAATGCTGTTCAACAGAGTCAATCCAGTATGAGGGGAAGAAGGTGCATCATATACATTTCATAATGTCTGATAAAAATTCAGCAACCGGCTGAAGAATCTGCAAAGTCAACAGACCTTTTAGTTAAAATAACATATAATTATAGACAGTTCATCTTTCAACTGGTTGCCTGTGTATCTAAACATTTACATAATAGTAAAAAGTAAAAAGAATTGTTGAGTTGTATATTACTTTGGTATAAATAACACATAACAGTTTAAAAGGTATAGGTACTCTTCAGATAGGTCAGCCATACGAGATTCAATTAAATAATATTTTATTCTTTTACATAAATAAGACCCTAACTAAGAAAACTAATGGGGCTTTTAAGGGACCAAATCATATAAATCAACATTAATTATACAAAAATGTAAAGACAGTTAATAAAATTGAACACCTTTTATTAGGTTAAAAAAAAAACCACCAACAGGTGGAACATGACCATCAAACATATACATGGAGAATCATAAAATACAGTTAATGAAACTGGCCACAGTAAACGTTACTGATGTTTTACACGCAAGAAGGGTGTCACGGGCATCAGCTACATATAACTAGAAGCTACACCCTCAGAACACCAAGGCTGAACTGTGACTGATTGGTGACACCTAGATGAAAGGTGTCACATCATAAACAGTAATAGACATAATGGTGCAAGGCTACAGCTTGGAATCATGGAGTGATACTTGGTTGGTATAAGGATACCGTAAGAGGTTAGGATTGTTTCCCATCAAAAAAAGGGAAGAGATAAACCTCACCCCTATTCCCTCTGTGTAGGACTACTATCTTACGGTATCCCGTTTTTGGAACACTTGGCTAATGTACTAACAGTATTGTGAATGACAATTCTGCTGTTTATAAGTGGATTTAGATCTTCTCCTGACCGACGATCATTCCTTATTAGCTGCTGGAGGCCCCCTTTTTCCATCCAGATACAATTGCACATCCTATATATTTTGCATGGGCCATCTGGGAGGGTGCTGGTATCGTCAACTGGAATTTGTGTTTTGTTTTTTCCCTGAAGAAGCAGGCATTGTTATGTGAAACGCGTTGAAATTATCAACAAAGTGCTTATTCATGGTTCCAAATGGAAGCTATGTTACTACATGTCTATTAACACCTATATTATGGTACCATCTGTCTAGGTGTCCCTATGCCAACCAAGTATCACTTCATGATTCCCCAATTTTCATTAGGGGTGTGGTATCAGTAAAACCCTGTTCACAAGATATGGAGAGCTATTTTCTCTCCATCTCCCACTCCCTATACATTTAATATATTATGTTACATAGTATTTTACAGAATCCTCTCATCTTTAGTGTTGTGCCTATTAACATGTTTATCCTGGAAATCAACTGTTCTATATAGTCCAAATAAACAGGATAAACTTCATTACATAAAGTTCACCAGAAGATGTATTGACTTTTACTAATAAAATAATCATGAGATGTTACCATACAATTAGCTGTTCTCTATGTGATAAAAATATTTTTTTTTTTTATTTTTTATATTTTTTTTTACCTCAAGCCTCCAACATTTTGTATGGCTTCAAAGAGCGCCGCAGAAAAATAGCATCAATCGCAATTTTGTGGGAGACTATTTGGGTATGGAGGATAAACCAGAGCTTCGCCAGTTTATGGGCAAGAGAGAAAGAATAGATTTTGCAGACTCCATCAACAAATATGACCGACGGTTTAAGGTGAGAAAATATGTTTTGCCAACTTGATGAATCGAGGTGCAGATAGTTTATCTGTTGCATACTAAACATCTGGATAAAATTAATTTCGTTAGAAAGAAAAAATAATGAACAGATAAAAAAAGATACCTACCTAACATCCAAGCACACTTGAAAGCCTACCTGAACACACTTAGAAATTATTAGTTTATAATTTTTTAAGAGTCTAAATTAGAAATCCAGCTCTAGCTTGGATCACACAATGGTCAACATGGACCACCATATGTGATCCCCATATCAGACATACAGTTGGCCCAAAATTTAGCATAGGGCTGCCATATAACATAGTGGTCATTTGTTCATATTATTTACATTGTCATTGATTATGTCAGTAATTATAACTTGCGAAAAACACAAAAACTACACTTTACTAATGCAGGCCATAGACGGGTCGTTTATCGGCTGAATTTTCGTCTGCATGTCACGCCGTTAGTGGGGCCAGCCCGTCGGCCGTTTTTTGGGGATCTCCTCATTTATTTTTATCGGTCATGCTGGAAAATCCACAAAAAACTGCTGGTTTTTGTGGCCATGGGTGGCAGCATCGGCAACGGGGCCGACCGATTTTTCATTTATCGACCGAAGCTGGATGGACCCAGCAAATCCCAAGCTTTCAGCATGAGTTAGTTGGGGAACCCTTAGTACATTAATGCAGGCCATAGATGGGTCGTTTATAGGCCAATTTTTAATCTGCACGAAAAATCAGCCGATATTCACGCCGTTAGTGGGGCCAGCCCGTCGGCCATTTTTCGTAGATCTTCTCGTTTAGTTTTATTGGTCATGCTGGAAAATCTGTAAAAAATGGCCGTTTTTCGTGGACATGGGTGGCAGCATCGGCAACGGGGCCGACCGATTTTTTTCGTTTATCGGCCGAATATGGCCTGCCTAAGTGCAATGAGCAACTGAAACTGGTGATATTGTAACAATGGCCACTGTAAAAATGGTCATTGGACTGTAAGAATATGCGAAGAACCTATTCAAGAAAACCTGTACTGACAGAAATATAGAGGCTGCCATTGCTAGATTCTTTTTGAAAATACTAGTTGGTTTTCTGTATCTGGACTCACTCAGTTACTTACTCGCCTATTATAAGTGGCAAATGCTGTCAAATCTGATATGCAAATTTGTTCTGGACCATTGACTTAAAGTATTAAAACATATGGATCATCAGTAGGACTTCCAAAAGTAGGAGGTAAACATTGTCAGCCCGCATATCCCTCTCAGTACAAGTTTCTTTTTATCACCCAAAATCTTGTCATTCAACATCAGTAGCTGTCCTTCCCACTAGATGAATTAATATATTTGCTGATAGTTTTGGTCCTTAGATAATGTAGGCTAACACCTTACCAGTAAGCTCATCCTTGAGCTCTTGTAGCAAAGTGGAGGTTGCTAAACACAAAATCATTTAACATGGAAAAGAACCCTAATAATATATATTTGTAAAAATGTCCTCCCCACGTATCCTGCCTAACCTGTATAAAACGGCTGGGCTATGGGAGCCTACAGGTGATGTCATGGCTCCCGGAATTTAGAGCTGATGTTGAGAATCACATGACAAGAATGGAGAGGCTTGAAAATAGGTAAGTGCACAGATCTGTTTTATATAGATTAGGAAGGATAGGAAGGTAGGAAGAGGGAGAAGGGAACATTTTTTAGTTAGTCCAGCAGCGAATAACATTAAAAAGGCCATAGAGTTTCTCACCAATAAATTATCAAAAACTCAAATCAAAGCTTGTCTAAAGCCATGCTGTTTTGAGTCTTGAATTGAGTGGTAATAGATTTAGATCCCATGTCAGATTTATGCTCTTTTGTCCCCACTAAGTAGATTCTAGACATGTCTGGTTCATTTAATTCCAAATCCAAATTTGGATGAGTTTTCGTTATTGTGAGATTCGGGTGTATCCACATTCCTGAATTACAATAGTAACGAATATAAACAAATCCGAAATAAAGAAACAAAATTTTGTCTGAAAAAACAAACTAATCAAACTTGAATGGAATTTGAAAACTAATTTGAAATGTAAACATATTGCTGATTTCCTTCAAAGACTGTGTGTATTAGTGTTAGTATATAGGCATTCTCCAAAATTCACATTTTGAAAAAGAATAGAATAAATTAGAATAGAATAGAAAGAAAAAAAGAAAATAGAATAGACTAGACTAGAACAGAAAAAAATTAGAATAGAATAGCTTAGAATAGAGTAGAATAAATATAGCCAAATTTCAAAAATTGAATTTTGAAAAGAAGTAGAATAAAACAGAATAGAATATAAAATAAAGGATTATAATAAAAAAATAAAATAGAAAACAATAGATTAGAAAAGAATAGAATAGAAAATAAAATAATAGAATAGAGTTAAAAATAGAATAGTTTAGAATAGTACAGGATAAAATAGAATATAGCCTTTGAATTTCGAATGGAATAGAACCAGCTATTCTTCACAATGAATACAAATTTTGACTCCGGTTGAAAATGACTAAATAAAACTAAACTAAACGAATTTCGTTACGAATGCAAAATCAAAAATAGTAACTTAACGAATCAAACCAAAAATAAACAAATGTTTCCATTCTGCACATGTCTAGCAGATTCACTCTCTATATGTACATTTTTTGATCTAGATATAATTTAAAGTCTAATTGAATAGTTTTCTAACAAAGTAATATGCAATATGTACCAATATTATAACAACCGAAAAGTGTATTTTCATACTCTATCCAATATGTGATAAAATTGGCACACACAAAAAATAACATAGGACATCTATGTTATCATGCACTGCATCATCATTATAATACATGATCACCTACTGACCCATTCACCCAGAGGACCTGCTATATTACAAAGAACGACTATTTCACTATGTGGCTCAAAGTGAGAATGACAAATCACTAAAACATTTCATCTCTTCTATCAGGCCATAAAGAGAGACCTTATCCTCACTCCCAAATACGTTTACTTGATAGGACGTGAAAAGGTCAAAAAGGGACCAGAGAAAGGACAGATCAAAGAGGTTTTGAAGAAAAAACTTGAGATACAATCTGTTAAACGCATTTCTCTAAGGTAAACTCATATACATTTTTATTGTATGCAAATAGCTTAATTAAGCAATGTGTAACAATTACTCAAAACTCCAAATCATTTATTTACTAACTAAAAGAATTCTCCAGGGAATATATATATATATATATATATATATATATATATATATATATATATAAAACTGCCTCTGAACTGGGTAATGTGTTAGAAATGTAAGGATGCCCCATCGTTTGATGGAAATAAAAATTATCAACCTACAGAGGACTGAATTCAAAGACACCCCGAAAATCAAAGTGAAAAAATTCTGCAGCAGGCTAGTCCATTTTGCTGAAATTTAATTGCAGCAACTCAAAATGGTACTCAGTAGTTTCTATGGCCCCCATGAGCTTGTATGCATGCCTGAAAACGGCGAGGCATGCTCCTAATGAGACGACGAATGGTGTCCTAGGGTATTTCCTCCTAGATCTGGACCAGGGCTTCACTGAGCTCCTGGACAGTCTGAGGTGCAACTTGGCGGCTTTAAATGGATGAAAACATGATATCCCAGAGGTGTTCTATTGGATTTAGGTCAGATGAGCGTGGGGGCCATTCAATAGTATCAATTTCTTCTTCTCCAGGAGCTGCCTGCATACTCTCGCCACATGAGGCCTAGCATTGTCATGCACCAGGAGGAACCCAGGACCCACTGCACCAGAAGTGGGTCCAAGGATTTCATCCCGATACCTAATGGCAGTCAGGGTGCCATTGTCTAGCCTGTAGAGGTCTGTGCGTCCCTCCATGAACATGCCTTCCCAGACCATCACTGGCCCACCACCAAAACGGTCATGATGAACGATGTTACAGGTAGCATAAGGTTCTCCACGGCTTCTCCAGACCCTTTCACATCTGTCACATGTGCTCAGGGTGAACCTTCTCTCATCTGTGAAAAGCACAGGGTGCCAGTGGTGGACCTGCCAATTCTGGTGTTCAATGGAAAATGCCAAATCGAGCTCTATGGTGCCGGCCAGTGAGCACAGGGTCCACTAGAGGATGTCGGGCCCTCAGGCCACCCTCATGAAGTCTGTGTTTGATTGTTTGGTCAGAGACATTTACACCAGTGGCCTGCTGGAGGTCATTTTGTAGGACTCATCCTGTTCCTCCTTGCACAAAGGAGCAGATACCGGTCCTGCTGATGGATTAAGGACCTTCTACAGCCTGTGTAACCTCTGTAGGGTCCAGGTATCGCCTCATGATACCAATAGTGACACTGACACTAGCCAAATGCAAAACTAGTGAAAAACCAGTCAGAAAAGATGAGTAGGTGAGTAGGGAAGAAAATGTCAGTGGCCTCCACCTGTAAAGCCACTCTTGTTTTGGGGATCATCTTATTGTTGCCCACCTAGTGCACCTGTTGTTAATTTCATTGACACCAAAGCAGCTGAAATTGAATAACAACCCCCTCTGCTACTTAACTGACCAGATCAATATCCCAGGAGTTTAACTGACTTGATGCTATACTCTGATTAAAAAGTGCTCCTTTAATTTTTTTGGTGAGAAAGAGAGAGAGAGAGATATGCACATTATCCCATGTTTGATCTCTTTAAATATGTTGCATATACAGAAAAATAACTGTTGATGCGCCAGAAATGTAGTGTGCTCCTTACTTTCTCTTTGTTATGACAACACAGTTTATTTTTTACTTTAAATTCCTAAGTACATGTTGCCAGCCTTGCCTACCATTTCTGATGCATTAAAAAAAAAAAAACCCCACTCCTAGGCCCCTTTCACACTGATGGTCCGATCGGGTCTGCCTGTCAGTTTTTCAGGAGGGCCCAATCGGACCATCTATAGCTCTCTATAGAGCGACAGGTGTCAGCGAACATGTTGGGTGGAAACGGACAGGCGGTCCATTTCCATCTGACCACCCCATAGAAAACAGTGGGCTGTGTCTGTGTCTCCTCTGCAGCAGCGGAGTGGACACAGACCTGTCATCCATGTGCTGAGCATGCGGATCTGCTGACGGGTCTGCTCCGTCTGAAAGGGGTCCTAATCTCCATGCACAGACAGGAAGTTATGAGGTCACAAGATTGCTGACAAAATCAACAGGTATTTTTTGCATTTTTGAACAAATAGTAAACACTTCCAGTGGTGTTTTTTAAAATATATTCTTCAGATTTTTTTTATATATAAAAAAGTAATTTTAACATATATTTTTACATATTTACATGTAAATGCATTCCAAAACTGTAGATTTGTATTTTTAAAGACATACAGTATATTTGAAATGTATTTTTAAAAATATTTTTCATATATTTTGTAATAAAAACGCATTTCAGCATGCAATGTGTGTGTATGTATATGTATATGTATATATATATATATATATATATATATATATATATATATTTATGGAAATATATTTTTTGAAATATATTGAATATGGCCAAAATTGTTGCATTTCAAATATATGGCAATATATTTGGGAAGAATATTTCAAAAATATATTTCAAATATATTTTTCTTTCATATGGGTGCTTATAGTGCTTGTTTAACTTACCTTTTTTTTTGCTTTCTTTTTTTGCATTTTGCTGTTTAAAATAGTAATTTGTACATTAACCATTAGAGGGAGCTCTGTATTTGCTTCATTCAACCTCCCTGTTTAATTGTTGAAATTTGACATCAGCAACAAAGAGACTGCAAGAAGTTTTTAATGAGTTTTGCAGCACTGCAAAATAAAAAAACAGAGGCTTTATTTGTAATGAGAAAATATACTGCAGCTGCCCCCCCACATATAACCATAATTAAAAACTAAATTTAGAAAAACAAAAAACTATGCATTCCTTTACTGTGGATTTGTGCTCAAATGTTAACAAAATACTGATGTGAATGTACAATATATGTGTAAAGCGCTGCGTAAATTGATGGCGCTATATAAGTACCTGAAATAAATAAAATAAAATAAATAATAAAAAAATAGTGAGGTCATGTGTATGGTCTTGCTGGGATAGCTAAATATAAAATTAATGAGGGGACTAAAATTCTCATTCTTATTAGGAAGGTCCCATCCAGGCCCAGATTCCATCCAGCGTTGTTATTTACAGTGGTCTGTATCAGGGTCAGGATTCCAGAAGCTGATTGTTTAAGCTCCATGGTACTGGACCCCAGCTATCAAGGATAGCCAGTGGCTCCAACTCTAATGCTGAAACCTGCAGGAGCCACTAAGTCCTGAAGCCCTGTTAAAATGGCACAGGAACTTGTGGCACTAGAACAGGACTTTATCATTTGTAAGTTACTTGCCAAAATGTTTGCAGATCTGGGGAACACATGGGTATTGATTTACTAAAACCGGCGAGTGCACAATCTGGTGCTGCTGTGCATGGTAGCCAATCGGCTTCTAACTTCAGCTTGTTCAGTTAAAGTGTTACTAAACCCCTGCCCTTGCATTCACTATATCTGGTCTCCCACAGAGCACAGAACATGGAAATGCAATTATTTTAGTAGCTATAAACTGCTAAATACCTTTTCTTATCAGCAGTTAGAGCAGTCTTGTGACTTCAGCAGAGCACTGGTTAAAGCTTGTAGGAGGAGTTTTCTTTCTGTTCTAGGAGGATGCAAAACCCCTGACCTGTGTCTGGACAGGGCTGATTGGCCCTGTGCTGATCACATGTATTCTCCCAAGAGAAAAAAAACCTCTCTAGCAATACACACTAAACTGAGCATGTGCATGTGACTACGGGTTCAGTCTGTCTTATGAGGAGATAAGACCTGGACATTTGAACAAGAGGAGGGGCAGAGAAAACAGGCCCAAATGGCCTTTTTACACAATGCAGAGAATTAACCCCTTAGGTTCCACAGTGAGTATAACAAGCATGCATATACAGTCTGATTTTACTATTGTGGGTTTAGTAACACATTAAGCTTTGGCAATAAAACCTGGAAACTGATTGGTTTCTATGCACAGCTGCACTAGATTTTGCATGTTCCAGTTTTAGTAAATCAACCCCATGATGTATAGTCATACCATAGTATATGCGCATATAGTGCATTCTGCTTTGTATCGTAGCACAGAGATTTAAGGCTAATTTCAGTGCAAATATTTAGAGAGGTTTCTGTCAAAAGGCGCTTACTAAAAAAAAAGTATTCTGAAAATGTCCTTTCCATGTTTAACATTGGCTGAACATTCAGACAGAGAGTGATTGTAGCTGTGGGGTTGATTTACTAAAACTGGAGAGTGCAAAATGTGGTGCAGCTGTGCATGGTAGCCAATCAGCTTCTAACTCCAGCTTGTTCAATAAAGCTTTGACAATAAAACCTGGATATAAATAACATAGATCTCTCCCCTGTCAGCTCCTGTACACTGCTTTGTATGGTTCTCCACAGCAGAGCCATAGAAAGCAGTGTGCTTACAGTGTAAAGCACACACACAGCACACAGTAAAACACACACAGCACACATGTAACCCTTTGATCGCCCCACATGTTAACCCCTTCCTGCCCACTGCCATTAGCACAGTGTCAGTGCTTTTTATTAGCACTGATCACTGTATTGGTGTCACTGGGGGATGTCAGTGACACCAAGTCAGTTCCCTCCCGTGTCAGAATGCTCGCTGCAGTACCGCAGTCCAGCTATAAGTCGATGATTGCCGCCATTACTAGTAAATAAAAAAAAAAAATTCCAGTATCTATACCGCCATTTGTAAACACTATAGCTTTCACGTAAACCAATTAATTTACACGTATTGGGATTTCTTTTTAGCAAAGACATGTAGCAGAATACATTTTGGCCTAAATTTATAATGAAATTTGTTCAAATACCACCGAAAGAAAGCTCAATTTGTGGGGAAAAAAGGACATGTATTTCATTGGGGTGCAGCGTTGCATGACCGTGCAATTGTCAGTTAAAGTAACGCAGCAGCATAACGCAAAAAATGGCCTGGTCAGGAAGGGGGGTAAATCCTCAGGAGGGCAAGTGGTTAAAGCTGGTTCACGCTGAATCTTGCGCAGCTGTGTATGGTAGCTAATCAGCTGCTAACCTCAGCTTGTTCAATTAAGCTTTGCAAAGAAAATCTGGAAGCTGATTGGTTTCCATGCAGAAGTGCACGAGATTCTGAGTGAACTAGCTTTAGTAAATAAACCCCTTAGTGCTCTAGATTGAGACAAGTACACACTAAACAGGGATATGCTTTGTTCATATTTCATGTCTGAGGTTTAAAACCACTTTAAGTTGACTAGGCTGGCTACAAGTCAGCCTTAATTTTCTCATAAGAGTTATTTAGCAAGGCTTTGGCCTGAACAGCATGACATACAGAGGGAAACCTACAAAATAGTATATAAATTAGGAATACCTAAATGTGGTACAGCAATGCAAGAGGTGTAAACATGCTCTTTCAGGTAAGTGCTCAGACAATAGAGTTTTTATTTTTTTCAGATACTTATATATCACCATTAATTTACGCAGCGCTTTACATATATATTGTACATTCACACCAGTTGAGTTTGCCTTTAAAATACAGTTGGTGATTCTTCAGTAAAGATTCCCACTGTAGCAAGTGCAGCAGTAAAAGGTCTTGTGAACATACTGGTGGCACAAATGATTCTAATATAAATAACCATCACTCATATATCTAAATTGCTTTATGTTTGTATCCAGCACCCACCAAGATGATTTCTTTATCTTGCATGAAGCTGAATTTGATACCCTCATGGAGTCTATGTTCAAAACTGAATTAATTAGTTTGATGTGCAAGCGGTATGAGGAGCTAACCAGGAGCAAACTAACCCTGAATTTTGCTGACACGTAAGTACTATATAGTAGTATATTCTATTTGTCTGAATGTATTCTATAGTATGTGAAGCAGGCAGGTAGATGTCAGAGTGACATAAATTAGGTTGTTTCATTCCTAGAATAAAATTTAATGAATGCTTCGGTAAGAAGGTTTGCAAAACTAGTGTGCTGATTGTGTAGGATAAGGAAAGAAAGAGAGGCACCTTCTAAGTGCAGTATTACAAAGATATTTAATGAGCCACAATTGGTAAAACTCACAATGTAGAAGTATTAAAAAAGTCTTGTCTCTATACAGGGGCAGACTGTCAACTCATGGGGCCTCCGGGCAATAGGGGATCATGGGGCTCCTGTGTCCTTTCCCAAACTCAAAAAAGCCAATGAGAAAGGTACCATGGGCATCTCATGGGGCCCTCTACTGACCCTGGGCCTTCGGGGCAGTGCCCGAGTTTCCAAATGGTCAGTCTGCCCCTGTCCCTATAAATAGAACATGTTAGGTAATACATCCTTAGGCTCCATGTACACGGGATGTTTGGAAAACTCTTCTGAATGATGGAAACTGACTGCTGGAAAACGTAGGGTAAAAAACGTCTGTTTAGCCACGTTTGCATACCGTGTTTATGAGTGTTTACGTTTAGATGCATTTTTTAAGATAACCTCAGGAGACCTTCTAAAATGCCCAAAATGCACTGAAAAACAGTAAAAAAAATTTCAGACATTTTGAGAGAAATAGAGAGAGCAGAAGCAGAGAGAGCAGTATGTGTTGAGATTAGCTGTCTTTTCTGGTTGTATTCACTATGGATCCCATCATGAGCATAATGCGGCATGTTCTACCATTTTTTTCATTCACGCAAAACCTGGAAATGACTGCTCTGGTGTACCAGGTCCATTTTAACACATGGAAAACACTTTGCATGCATTTCTGATGATGAAAAAAGGTTCTGGACAGCATCTGGATATGGAACAGTTAAAAAACGCTTATAAATGCAAAACGCTTATAAACGCGGTTAGCCGCGTTTACAGGCATTTGGTGTTTGAAATGCTGATAAAATCTACTCCTGAACGCAAGCTTGGTGCGTTCAAAAAACGACTGTAAACTCAACTGCCTGTAAACGACTGTAAATGACTATGTGAACATGGACACATAGGAAAACATTGGGGAGAGTTGAGAGGGAAAATGCAGAAAAGCTCCTGAACGTGAGTTTATCAGCTGCAGTGTACATGAGCCCTTAGGCCTGTAGAAGGAGCAGTTTGCTCCGAGCGCGTAGCCTTGTGTTCTCCCCTTCTGTCTGCCGAACTTCCTCCTGTGTGATGTCACGTCTACCCGGTTTGCGGTTCACGCTGGTCACGGGTACTTCCGGTTCCGGTCGAACAACGGTGCCTAGGACTCATGACTATCCACAGCGGTCTGGAACAACCTCTACCACCTACGGTGGCCATTACGCCACCGGACGGACCCCTGCAGGACACGCATGACGGCATTTTTGATGGGCTTTTTTAATACTTATACATTGTGAGTTTTACCATTTGTGGCTCATTATATATCTTTGTAATACTGCACTTAGAAGGCGCCTCTCTTTCTTTCCTTATCATGCATATAGAGTTTGCTCACTCTGGGCGGCTGCCACCTAAAGCGGTTATCAAGTTATAGACTTTATTGGGACTTATGGACTTGTTATACTGGATATAAACCATTAGTGATCTGAGATTTCTTTTTATGATTGTGTGGGATAACCTACCTTCCCATTTGATCTATATTAGGATTGACAGTACAAGGATCAATCTCAGATACATCCAATGATAATGACTATATTCTCTCCAGACTACAGCTTAGAGTAAAAAAAGAAGGCTGGGGAGGAGGTGGCACAAGAAGCGTATCATTCCTAAGAGGTCCAGGAGACATTGCTCAGCTGAAACCAGGAGGGAAGACCCTAGCAATAAGTATTGGGGATGGACTCCCCAAAAACTCCAGTAAGTATTATTCTGAAAAGAATTTCTGATAGAAATGAAAGTAAATATGTAATAACTCCAGGAGGTGAGTGATGTCACATCAGGCATGGTTTGAATATGTTATCCACAACCAACCTATACCACAGGAGACCTTTACAGGAATAGGGATAGGGCTTCTAATTCCAGCCCTTGAGCTTATGGTAGTTTGGGGGATGAATGAGACCTGAAAGAGGGGTGAGTATGGTCACCATGCACAGTTAGATTTTTTGTATTAAAATTTTCATACAAATTTCCAAAAAAAATGTTCGTCAGAGCTTTCAATGATATAATCATAGACTCAATGCATTTAGTTTGAAGTGCAGATTTACACAATTTTGTTCAATTGGAATGCACATGTTTCATTTTTAGCGTTCAGTTTCAGGATGCATGGAAGTGATGTACTTGTGTACAAATCAACAAAGGATTAAAGTATAACTAAAGGCAAAAACTTTTTTTAGATTTGGATGGAGTGGAGAGGGATAAGACCACTTTTCAGTTTTTATTGCTGTCTGTACCCCCATTAAGGAGATTCACTCTCTCTATTTGTCCTGTTTACCATTCTCTGTGAAAGTAAAAAGAAAATCCCAAATTTTGGGTTGTGTCCAGGTAAGTAAGAGAGGTAAAATCTTTCAATGGGGACACTAGTTCTGGTGACTTGGGGGTCCCCAAGGAATTCCCTTAACCACTTTACTACAGCGCTATAGCCAAATGATGGCTACAGCACGGTCGTCTAGTTCTGGGAGGGCATCATATGACATCCTCCCAGAACGCGCCCCTAGCAGCATGCACCCAAAGCTGTCTGTGCTCGCTGTGTCCTTTGGACGCAGCTAATCACATGACATGGTAAAAGGCCAATCACAACAGCCTTTTACCATGTGATCAGCTGTGTCCATTCACAGCTGACCACCATGTAAATACACTTGCTGGTTATCAGCAGTACTTTCCTCACGCTGTCACATACATGAGTAAAGTACTTCCGGTAATCGACAACTGTCACAGCAGACATCTGCATTGGTCATCAGGGCACTGATTATCAGTGTCCTGATTATCAGTGCAGCCCCAAAAATGCCCTCAATGCTGCCATCGGTGCTGCCCAACAATGCTGCCTATCAGTTCCCAATAGTGTTGCCCAGCAGTGCTGCCAATCTGTGCCTGTCAGTGAGGTCAGTCAGTGTCCTTCAGTACTACCTACAGTGCCTTGAAAAAGTATTCATATCCCTTGAAATTTTCCACATTTTGTCATGTTACAACCAAAAACGTAAATGTATTTTATTGGTATTTTACGTAATAGACCAAGACAAAGTGGCACATAATTGTGAAATGGAAGGAAAATAATAAATGGTTTTCAAAATTTTTTTCACATAAATATCTGAAAAGTGTGGCGTGCATTTGTATTCAGCCCCCTTTACTCTGATACCCCTAACTAAAATCTAGTGGAACCAATTGCCTTCAGCAGTTACCTAATTAATAAATAGAGTCCACCTGTGTGTAATTTAATCTCAGTATAAATACAACTGTTCTGTGAAGCCCTCAGAGGTTGTTTAGAGAACATTAGTGAACAAACAGCATCATAAAGGCCAAGGAACACATCAGACAGGGCAGGGATACAGCTGTGGAGAAGTTTAAAGCAGGGTTAGGTTATAAAAAAATATCCCAAGCTTTGAACATCCCACGGAGCACTGTTCAATCCATCATCTAAAAATTAAAAGAGTATGGCACAACTGCAAACCTACCAAGACATGGTCATCCACCTAAACTGACAGGCCTGGCAAGAACAGTATTAATCAGAGAAGCAGCCAAGAGGCCCATGGTAACTGGAGGAGCTGCAGATGATCCACATCTCAGGTGGGAGAATCTGTCCACAGGACAACTATTAGTCGTGCACTCCAAAAATCTGGCCTTTACGGAAGAATGGCAAAATGAAAGCCATTGTTGAAAGAAAGCCAAAAGAAGTCCCATTTGCAGTTTGCAAGAAGCAATGTGGGGGACACAGCAAACGTGGAAGAAGGTGCTCTAGTCAGATGAGACCAAATTGAACTTTTTGACCTAAAAGCAGAACGCTATGTGTGGCAGGAAACTAACAGTGCACATCACTCTGAGCACACCAACCCCACCATGAAACACGTTGGTGGCAGCATCATGTTGTGGGGATGCTTTTTTTTTCAGCAGGGACAGGGAAGCTGGTCAGAGTTGATGGGAAGATGGATGGAGCTAAATACAGGGCAATCTTAGAACACCTGTTAGAGTCTGCAAAAGACTTGAAACTGGGGTGGAGGTTCACCTTCCAGCAGGACAACGACCCTAGACATACAGCCCCTAGACATACAGCCAGAGCTACAATGGAATGGCTTAGATCAAAGCATAGTCATGTTAGAATGGCCCAGTCAAAGTCCAGACCTAAATCAAATTGAAAATCTGTGGCAGGACTTGATAATTGCTGTTCACAGACGCCCTCCATCCAATCTGACAGAGCTTGAGCTATTTTGCAAAGAAGAATGGGCAAAAATGTCCCTCTCTAGATGTGCAAAGCTGGTAGAGACATACCCAAAAAGACTTTCAGCTATAATTGCAGTGGAAAATTCTAATATTGCATATGCATATTCTAATATTGCATATGTGAATTACAGTACCTTTGATTTTCCTGACTGAGATCACATACAATGTTGAAATTTTGTTCATCAGATAAGAAATTGGAATACATTCACATCCTCCTTCATTTTTTCAGCTCTCTGCAGTTGAAAGGGTTCATTGATCCCCATCAACAATTAAAACACATTTTCCACAAACGATCATTCTCGAACAAGGTTCTAAAAATGTATAGGGGCATTTATACTAGTAGATTTTCCAGCACTTTTGCTCTATTGCTAAACATTATACCCCATTCTTATAAATGGGAAGGATTAAGTGCATTTCGACAAAAAGATATGCCCTATATACATGTAGATTTTCTTGCATCCAAAACAAATTTTCAAAACAAAGTTTTTTTAACAATTTTTAGATAACTGTGTTAAAGAGTGGCTTGATATAAATACTGCTATTAATATGCAATCATGTAAAGTCTTAAAAATTACCTTATGGAAAACACTGTAATAATAATTAAAATATATCCTTCATGTAAAAACAAAAAAAGGCAAATGAGAGACTAATAAATATAAGAAATTGACAACTTAAAATTTTTGAACATCAAAGAAACATTCCAAAAAAAGTTTTTTTTAATGCTTCTCTTACATCTATCCCCCAACTACCACTTCCCCCCACAACTCTGCAAGTGTCACTGAGCAAATATGATAAATTAATGTATTTTGTTATTTTATTATATGGAGATCAAAGGTCTGACTTTTGATCTGCATATGATATCACTTAAAGAACTTACAAGTTACTTATTTTTAAATAAAATGTATTTCTCTTAAACCTGTCTTACCATTAGTTAACCCTTATCAGCCCTAATTAACGCCTTCATCTACTTCCCCACTATAATTTATATTAGACATGTGCAGTTTGTTTCATTCTACATCAAAATTTGGATGAATTTTTAGTTATTCATAAATTCGGATGAATTTTTAGTTATTCAGAAATTTGGATGTGTCCAAATTTCTAAATTACAATAGTAACAAATTTAAACAAATCCAAAATAATGAAACAAAATTTAATTCGAAATTTAAATTGAATTTGAAAAAAAAAAAATCTAATTCGAAAACTAAATTGAATTTGAAAACAAGACTGGAATAAAATAGAACAGAAAATAAAGGAATAGAAAAGAATAGAATAGAATAGAAAAGAAATGAACAGAATATATTAAAACAGAACAGAATAGAATAGAAAATAATAGAATAGAACAGAAAAGAAAAGAATATGGTAAAACAGAACAAAATAGAATAGAAAATAAATTAAAAGAATAGAATAAAATAGAATAGAAAAGAAAGGAATAGAATATAAAAGAAAATAATATACAGTAAAAGAAAAGAATAGAATAGAATAGAATAGAAATAACAATAGAATAGAATAAAATAGAAAGAATATAACCATCTTCCAAAATTCAAATAGAATAAATTTGAATGCCGATTTGATACTTTTTTAATTCAATTTTTCCAAATTTGGAAAACTCAAATCAAATTCAAAAACAAATAAACAAAATAGAAATGAATGAGTTTTGAAAACAAATTAAATGAATTTAACTAAATGAAATTATTTAAATAACAATATGAAACTATTTTTTTCGTTCTCCGCATGTCTACTTTATAGTTACACTAAAACTTTAAAAAAAAAAACTGGCCAAACAGTGAAAAACTCTTTTTTTTCTACATTTTTGTCTATAGATTTCAAAGAAATTAAAATAATTATTGCAAAACAATATTGCCACACCCTGCCCCCTCCCCCCTTAAGTAATAGGAAATATATTATTGCCAAGTAAACGGAATAAAGAATATTCTGATAATAAAATATCTTATTTTAGAGCCTACAAGAAAAGAAAAAATGCAAACTCGCTCACACAGGCCACCACCTAATCGCCCAGCTCCAGCTATCCCTGGTAAGTCTTTCTAAAACCATTAGCTCCTCATCCTTATTAATTTTTGTGTTATTGAAGACTTATGTGTACCTGTATTTCATAGGTTCTGCTAAAAATGGGGCTCCTCGGTTTAATTCTGGACATTCTAGAAACCCTACTTACACTCAGGCCAAGCGGCAGAGCAGAGCTCCACCATCTACTGCCCTCCCTCGACAATCAGCACCTAGAAAAAGCCGTGCACCCTCTGACCACAACATGGAGTTCCTTAATGTACCAGACCAGGGTGTTGCTGGGTAAGATTTCTTACTATTGTTTTTTTAATTTTGGGTTAAAATACAATACAGTCTTTTGAATAACAACATATTTTTGGGGTTGAAATTCCTTCCTGACCTAATTTGCTTTGCAGGGTACAAAGGAGAAAGAGTCTCAGTCAGAGAGCACCACCTGCAGTAGGCCATCCAAAACCTCAGGTCAAGCCTGTTAATCCTTGCTGCAGAGCTATTTACCAGTACATTGGACAAGATGTTGATGAGCTAAGCTTTAATGTTAATGATGTTATTGAAATTTTGATGGAAGGTGAGTGGCAAACAGAGGTAATTTTTTTTTTAATTGTAAAATTGCACATCAGAAAACATCATATTTTATGAATTCAGCCGTGCAGACACTGGTAGTCACAGAACCTTCTTTAACCGCCTCCCGCCCGCCATATAGTAAAAATGATGGATGCAAGGTGGTTCTCTCGTTCTGGGAGGACGTCATATGATGTCCTCCCATTCTAACCGAGCATGCGCGTCCCTCGGACACAGCAGATCACGGATCAACGGAAAGAGCCGAAGATGTCAGCTCGGTCATGTGATCAGCTGTGTACAATCACAGCTGATCGTATGTAAATAGGGGAATGCCTTTTATCGGTATTTCTCTCCTCGCGAGCTGTCACGATGACAGCTCAAGAGGAGAAGAGAGCCGGTAATTGGCATCCCTCAGAGGGGACATGTACACTGATCATCAGGGCACTATGATCAGTGTGCCCTGATGATCTGTGTAGCCCCAGCAGTGCCACCTGTCAGTGTCCATCAGTGCCAGCTCTCAGTGTTTATCAGTGCTACCTGCCAGTGCCCAACAGTGCCACGTCACTGCCACATTTCAGTGCCTACCAGTGCACATCAATGCCACATATCAGTGCCCATCTGAGCTGCCTTTCAGTGTCACCCATCAGTGCCAGTCAGTGCCACCTATCAATGCCAGTCAGTGCCACCTATCAGTGCTGCCAATCAGTGCCACCTATCAGTGCTAGTCAGTGCCGCCTATCAGTGCCAGTCAGTGCCACCTATCAGTGTGCATCAGTGTCGCCTATTAGTGTCCCGTCAGTGCTGCCTATCAGTGCCGGTCAGTGCCAGTCAGTGCCAGTCAGTGCCACCTATCAGTGCCTTATATGAGTGCTGCCTTTCAGTGCCCATCAGTGATGCCTGTCAATGCCCATCAGTGCCACCTACCAGTGCCTCCTCATCAGTTCCCATCAGTGCAGCCTATCAGTGCCCATCAGTGCAGCCTCATTAGCGCACATCAGTGAAGGAGAAAAATTACTTATTTACAAAATTTTATAACAAAAACTAAGAAAAAACTTTGTTTAAAAAAAAATTTTTTAAGTGCTTTTTGGTTTGTTTAAGAAAAAATACAAAACCCAGAGGTGATTAAAACCACCAAAATAAAGCTCTATCTGTCACAAAAAAATGATAAAAAATTCATATGAGTACAGTGTTGCATGACCGCGCAATTGTCATTTAAAGTGCAACAGCGCTGAAAGCTGGAAATTGGCCTGGGCAGGAAGGGGGTATAAGTGCCCTGTAGGCTAGTGCTTAAAGCCTCCATAATGCTTTTTTAAAGATAAACAAACAGCTAAACACACCAATGGAATACATGTAAGGGAGTGGAGGCTGTATACTGTATCTGTACAATCCAAACGCACACGTTCCTGCGTTAAAAATGGCTATGTGTATAAGTGGGTGCTGCAGGACCGTCGGCTGTAACCAAACTGAATCAGCAAGGGAGAATGTCACCAGCACACCAAGGATCACCAAAGGTGACCACATGCCTGATGAAGGGGTCCTGCTAGACTTCGAAACGTTGCCTTGCTGTAACTGTGATCGTTTATTAAAGCTTTTGGACCCATATTGGTGATGCTCGGTGTGCTGGTGACATTCTCTCTTGTATACTGTCTCTGTCCCTCCAATCCTGAGATTTATGTAGCTCTGTTACACAGCACAGCTTTGCCTGGGAATGCAGAAAACCTTTCTTTGCTGCAGTTAAAGTGGAACTAAAGTCAACATCTCAAAAAAGTGCTAGTAGGTAGGTTGTAGGTTAAAAAAGACCCTGTACGTCTTTTCAGCCATAATATCACTTCTGACTTCTACTGCCTGATTTAATTAATTGAACACTGACAGGCACACATCGACAGCTCAGTGTACAATCCTATAGCCCTGGCCAAAAGTTTTGAGAATGATACAAATATTAATTTTCACAAAATCTGCTGCTTCATTGTTTTTTGTCAGATGTTACTATGATAAACTGAAGTATAATTACAAGCATTTCAAGTGTCAAAGGCTTTTATTGACAAATACATTGAGTTTATGCGAAGAGTCAATATTTGCAGTGTTGACCTTTCTTTTTCAAGAACTCTGCAATTCACCCTGGCATGTTGCCAATCAACTTCTGGGGCACATCCTGACTGATGGCAGCCCATAATCAATGCTTGGAGTTTGTCAGCATTTGTGGGGTTTATTTTGTTCACCCACCTCTTGATTATTGACCAAAATTTCTCAATGGGATTAAGGTCTGGGGAGTTTCCTGGCCATGGAGCCAAAATTTCGCTGTTTGGTTTCCCAAACCACATAGTTATCAATTTTACCTTATGGCAAGGTGCTCCATCATGCTGGAAAATCCATTGTTTACCACCAAACTTCTTGGATGGTTGGGAGAAGTTGCTTTCAGAGGGTGTTTTGGTACCATTCTTCAATCATGGCTATATTCTTAGCCAAGGGAGTGGGCTCACTCACAATTTTACCTGAGAAGCAACCAATGAATGGTCTCAGAATGCTTCACTGTTGGCATGACACAGGACTGATGGTAACGCTCACCTTTTCTTCTCCGGACAAGGTTTTTTCTGGATGCACCAAACAATTGGAAAGGGGATTCATCAGAGAAAATGACTTTACCCCAGTCCTCAGCAGTCCAATTGCTGTACTTTTTGCAGAATATCAGTCTGTCTCTGATGTTTTTCCTGGAGAAAAGTGGCTTCTCTGCTGCCCTTGACACCAAGCCATCCTCCAAAAGTCTTTGCCTCACTGAGCATGCAGATGCACCCACACCTGCCTTCTGCCATTCCTGAACAAGCTCTGCACTTGTGGTACTCCGATTCTGCAGCTGAATCAACTTTAGGCGACAGTCTTGGCACTTGCTGGACTTTCTTGACCGCCCTGAAGCCTTCTTCACAACAATTGATCCTCTCTCCTTGAAGTTCTTGATGATCCTATATATGGTTGATTTAGTTGCAATCTTAGTAGCAGCAATATCCTTGCCTGTGAATCCCTTTTTGTGCAAAGCAATAATGACTGCACGTGTTTCCAGGTAAATTAATATTTGTGTCATTCTCAAAACTTTTGGCCAGGGCTGTAGTATGTCAGATGCTGGGAGGAATAAGTAACTCCTGTGCAGGTGTCTGAGTTATGTCCTCCTGACCTAGGCAGTAGAGAAGACTCCAGGCCCAGAAGTGCACCTGGAGAGGATGGAAGTGGCATGAGTGAGGTGGGGTTATGCAGATGTATCACTGGAGTAGGGCATTTTGCTAGGTGAATGTACCATGATGTACACATAATTTCCAGGACTCCCAGTGGCCTAAAGTACTATAGTTCTGCTTTAGGTGAAACGTACAAGTCTTGAACCTCCCCTAGACAGTAAAGGAAGAAGCTGCAGACTCCAGAGCTCAGCTCTTTGTTGCTCTGCTCTCTCCTCCTATCAGCATGTCCCTTGCTGGCACATGAGCATGGCAGCACAACTGCTTGTCTTTATTATTTGCTTCCTACTATCCACGCTGAGTTCTGTTGTACAGTGGATTGCAATGATTGCAATTGGTACTTTTAATGATGTACCTCTTGCTGAACACTCAGCACATATCTGCGGCAGGAGGGTAGGTGGGACTTAACCTCCCTAGTGGTAATCCCGAGTGTGGCTCGGGGTTAAATTACAGTACCAAAAGCAGTAACCCCGAGCCACACTCAGGATTACACTATAGTGCTTCTCCTGCAATTCCCCGATCCTTACCTTGTCCTGCGATCCCCGGATGTCCTCCGGCCAATGCCGGCATCTGTCTTCTGCGAGCGTCGGGACGCAGGGGGGTGGAACTGGTGGGAGATTCAAAAAAGTAAAAATATGACATACACACAATACATTGTAATCTAATTGTATTGCATTACTGTATCAAACCATTTCACCTAAATTTTGTCCCTAGTGCTTTGTCCTATGCCCTGCCTGCACTTTTACTGTTCTTTCTGCCTGGAAACTTGAGAATGTCCATGGCATCCAAAAAGTGTTCCTTTAGGTCAAAAGCAGTTTTTGACCAGCTAGAGAACAGCGATAGTAAATTAGAATCACTTGCAGAATTGAGCGATAATGATATGTGGGGAAATTCGTCATCAGACACTGAAAACTATTCTGCGACTGACTTCAGTGATGTGCGAGCTTGGTGCTCTATTTGAAATTTCAGTGTTTTTGGTTTGATTACATTTTTTAATTAAATGTATTATTTTTTATTATTATTTTTTATAATTATTTATTATATTATAATTTATGATTTCGTTTTTCAAACTTTATCATACCCGGGATGTTTACTAGACTCTTGTTTGGACAGATTTAAGTGAGTTATTTCTAGGAATTACAGGCCTACATTACAAAACAACAAAGTTCCATGCAAAACAATATACCGCTTTGACATTCAAAAATATTGATTAGTTAGACCGCCAGGGAAGTTAATGCCTGCATGCTGCACGTATCCATTCATGGTACATCATTGTTGTGGACTGTCATTGATAGCTCCCAGTCACCATTAATGATTGGGAGCCAATGAGAGGGGCCCCCGCTTATGTGACCACTGTGACAGCTAATCACAGTGATCACATAATCAGGAACTCCAACTCCCATCATTGAGCACCCATTAAAGAGCCAAGTGTCGGCAAGAGGTTAATAAAATCTACTTTAACTTTTCTTCTATATTTGCCTGGAATTTAACATTAAATTGTTTATTACACTGGTAGATTAATTTGAATGATCATTTTAATTTAGACAGACCAGATAGTTACGATAAAAACTTGAACTTTTTATGTATATATATATTTATTGATTGCCTAATGTGTAATGGCATTCTTACTTTTGGGTAACCCCACCTCCCTTAGACCCACTCCCAGTCTTATATTCATCTTTCTCCAATCTACCAAGATCTTGGTTGCTTGGACTCCTTTCTCAAGGAGGTCTCACAGCCGTGACCCTGGTTCATCGGGGACAGGCAAGTATAAAACCAAGAGGAAGGATTAGGATTACCCCAATAACTATGTTTATAATTTATATTGCTATTCACAATCTATGAACTTATATGTTAGAATGCACTATGTATTTTATAATGTTTAATTGAATTCATTGTGATTGCGATATTTTCAGATGTTTCTGGTTGGTGGAAAGGAAGACTTCATAGAAGAGAAGGACTTTTCCCAGGAAATTACGTTCAGAAAATATGATACCATATATAATCCTTCATGATTGTGTGCATTGGGAAGAACAGTCAGTGCTTTGAGAAACAGACTTCTTGAAAAGAACGCTTCCTAACAAAGCAATTTTAATCCATTATCAAACGCATTGTGTAATGCTATCACTGGCGCATGGGCCAGTGGGTTTACATTTTCTGTTCAAGAACATTTTAACTTTGCCTTTATTGAAAGCTATGTAAATTAAAAGCTCTGAGAGATTTTTGTCTCTATGTACTGTACATTATCCATAAACAATAGGTTTTGTTGTGTCAAATGTATCACCTCAAACATTCATTTTCTAAAGGATTTTCACTTTTCTCTGCAATAAACATTTCCCAAGAATCCAATAAAAAACCTACCACTGTATTTTAAGAAATACACCAATGTGATTTTAAAGTTCAACCATTCTGTGTGACTTCAATCATACAACTTAATGCAAGTTGCAAGCATGTTGCACATAAATAGTGCGGGAACTTTAGTCTCCGCTATTAAAATAGGGCAACAAACATTGGATGCGACTTTGAAGTGGTGAGTAGCATGGCAAGTCACATCAGTGTGAACCAGGGCTAATGGTTTAAGCTGAACCAAATGCAACCAATTAAACTGCTACATACTATAGCTGAAATCCAAACATATGAACTCTCTTACTGGAGACACTGTGGAGACACTCCAGTGATCAAGGCACCTGTGCAATACTACATAGACAGACTAGTTACTGCAATTAAGTGATACAGTTTGGTCAATTACTCACCCCCAGCCTTCTGATCAGATCATGAAAGAGTAGCAGAACCTTGATGAGCATGTCATCCCTTTTGCTCTCTTCTCCTATCAGCAACCGACTAGAGCTGGGTTGTATTGTTCAGTGCTATCAAGCCTGATTAGCTCATAGTGCTGCCTCTTTTTCTTCCAGACTACACCAACAATCAAGAATATTCACATTTTTCTTAACTGGTCATTTATTTGTCACTGCTAAGAGCAAAGTTATACATACCCTATTTCACCCATTTCTTCCCTTTTAAACAGGTAAAATAGAATTCCTTGTTTACTGACACTATAGTTGGTTTGAGCCAAGCTGACCCAAACAAACTGTTCCCATTACAGATCGTTGTGGCTGCTGTGTGTGCTGTAATGGACAGTAGTAACATTAGCTACATGCAGTAAGATGTGTTCCGGCAACAGTACAGGTGACTTCGCACCTACTCCTGGATGTAAAGAGAGTTGGACTTATTGCTTCTCTGACATTCAGGAGAAAATGTGTATTTTTATCAATTAATACAAGGCTTTCCCTGATTGGCCTAAAAAAGATTACAAAAAAGCGCCTCTAAGTGCAGTATGTAGAGCATTTATTGAGGAACACAGTAAGAAACACTCACATAATGGAGGAGAAAAAGAAGGCTTTGGCATATGTTATAAAGATGGAGGACATGACTGCATTCTCAATGTGATAGCCATAGTCAGTGCTCGGGGAGAGAATCTGGATGTTCACAAGGAGCCGGCTGGCATGTGTGAGTATCAGAAAATGGCATCCAGAGTACACCCTAAAGCGCAACGTCGGCGTCAGCGTGATGACGTGGGGGAGTTCAGCATGTGCGAGGCAGATAGAATCATCCTTATGCTTGAGAACACAGCGCACTTCTGCCTTCTATCGGCCTCGCACATGCGCTGAAACGCGCCACATTGCATGCTGGACTTTCCCACGTCATCAAGCTGCCGCCGACGTTGCGCTCCAGGATGTACTCCGGACGCCATCTTCCGATACTCACACATGCCGGCCGGCTCCTTGTGAACATCCAGAGTCTCTCCCCCAGCGCTGACTATGGCTATCACATCAAGGATGCAGTCATGTCCTCCATCTGTATAACATATGCCAAAGCCTTCTTTTTCTCCTCCATCATATGAGTGTTTCTTACGGTGTTCCTCAATAAATGTTCTACATACTGCACTTAGAGGCACTTTTTTCTCTTTTTTATATCTTTACCCAGAGCCCGCTACAGCTACGAGAGCTTGCCCTAGTGCTATAAGGACTCATTTGTGTTTATTTTATGTCATTGGACCTGATTATGAACGTTGTTCAGTACCCTCTATCATTAGGAATCGGGGAATTTGTATGTCCTGATTCCTTGTTTACTTGTTATTCCTTGTTCAGTTTCCTTGATTGGCCCAAAGTGGAGATCATGACCTCATCTACCTGCCTCTCCACCTCAGCAAATCAGAAGAAGCCTTGTATTCATCGAAAATAGTTTTTAGCTTGATAACACATTTCCTATCCTAGGGTAACAGCATTCAATCAGGGTACTGTATCTATGGAGGAGCAGTGTTATCACCCTAGGCTACTCCCTGATTCGGATTACATACATCTCCTCCTCTTCACTACATACGTTGCTTCTAGTTCAGACGATAGCTGGGAAATAGATAACACTGTTTGTGATATAGATCCAAAACACAGGGAGTTACTAAGATAATGGAATTCTTGCAAGGTCAAGTATCTTTCTGTACTTGCAGAAAATGTATTTGGCAAAAATAAAACTAATGCCACCGCCACATCTAAGGGCTGGAATCTGCATTATATTATATTTCTGGTTTTGGAAATAGATTTATCATTTAATGCAGGAACTAAACTTACCTCTGCTCATCAACATCTTCTGGTGATCTTCCAGGCTTGGCATCTTCACCCATCTTAAAGCGGAACTAAACCCTCCTATCCTTTTCAGCCAAGGAAGTTACTATCCTAGCCTTTGTTTGATCTGCAACTGCCATAGTGCTGCACATATGATCAGTTATGACACCAGCCATTTGATAGTTTGACAGTTTGGTCGAAAGCACAAGCAAAGGTGACAAGTAGCATTCCTGGCACACCAGGTATGTAACTGGGTTTTTTTTAACCATTACATTGATGGGGTTGGTTTGATTTAATTGGCAAAGCCATGATGACATAATTCCTGTGCATGAGCACAGGAGTTAATTCATCCCTACACTGCAGATTTGCAGCTCAGTGTACATTCTACAGAAACTTGCACGCAGGAAGGCAAGGTTGTATTGCAAATAAAACAAGCCATGTAGTTATCAATTTTCACCACTAGATGCCCCCACTTATCCTTAGTTCCTTAAATGATAAGTTCACCTTATTAAAATGCACATATTTTGCAGATAAAAATGCACCTGATATGAGCAGATCGCAGGTGCTGTGTCAGCCTTCTCTACACTTTCCCTCCAGCTTTCTTTTTTTTTTTTTTTTTTTTATTTAAATATTTATTAGTTTTTCATTTTTTACAAAAAAAAATCCATAAGAAGAGATAACAATACATATAAATATTCCATACATTTCTACCTTGCCCCTTCTAATAAATCTTTTCTTTCCCTCCCCTCCCAACCCTTTCCCACCCCCCTTCCCCCCCCCCTCCCCTTTGCACGTTCTATACTCTCTCGAGGCCCAATAGTTTCTTAATTTATAGTTGTCTATACTTCTCTTTCAGTCCTGATTTTTCCCATTTTTCCCATCTTGTATAGTATATTTCCATCCTATCTTCCTGCATATAGTAAGATTTTTCCATTCTACTTATCTGATTTACTCTGTTGATCCAGTCTTCCTCCTTCGGCACCTCTGATTTTTGCCAGAACTTGGGTATCAACCCCTTTGCAGCATTTAAATAGTACCATACGCCTGATTCTTTATATTTATTTACTGTGATCCCAACACTATGTAGGAGACATATCGTTGGGTCTAACCCTATGTCATTTCCAGTTATTATTTCTATTGAGTTAACTATTATCTTCCAGAAAGCCTGAATTTTCGGACATTGCCACCAAATGTGAAACACCGTGCCCTCCTCCCCACAACCTCTCCAACACATTTTAGAATTCTCCCCCCTCATCTTGTGCTCAATACTCGGTGTGATATGCCATCGTGTCAAACATTTATAGTTAATCTCCACATCTCTCATACTAACATTCTCGTGTATCAATCTATATATCTTGTTCTGTTGGTCCTCGTCTAACACCACCTCCATATCTCTTTCCCATTTCGTTATAAAAATTAACTTTGTGTCTGTGTCTAATTCTGTGAGTATTCTATAAACTTTGGCAATTCCGTGTTTCCCATCTCTACGTGTTTCCAACAACCTTTCAAACATATTCCAATCCTTTTTTAATCTCAGGGGTTTTGTAGTTTTCCAATAAAGCATTTTAACTGATGATATTTCCACTCGTCTATTCCAATAAAACTTTCTCCCTTCTTCTCTTTTAATTCTTTAAATGGTCTCAATTCCCCCTCTACCAGTACATCTCTCAGTTGGATATCTTCCCTTTTAAACCATCTACCAGATATCTCATCCCTTTCCTGGGGGGAAATAATCAGAATTTACAAGAGGCATTAATATAGAATTGAATTCCCATTTCCTACTTTTGTGTAAATTATCCCATACCCTTAAAACATTTAAAGTGTAAATACTTGTGCTTTCTTTAACTCTTCTAAGATGTGCTGGAACCCATATCATCTTACTCAAACTAATCCCACTCAATTCGTTTTCAATTTTTACCCAACTCTTCCCCTTGTGGTTGAATGTCCAATCATAAATTCTTGCTAAAATTACTGCTTTATAGTATCTCTTGACATCAGGTAGTCCCATTCCCCCTTTCTCTTTAGTTCTACTCAATATTTCATATGATATTCTTGATTTTTTGTTCCTCCAGATATATCTTATTAACATTTTTTTCATTATCTTAAAAAACACCTCTGGAAGTTTAATTGGGACCATTTGGAATCTATACAGTATTTTAGGTATGATTACCATTTTAACTAGGTTTATACGTCCTATCCATGATGGGTTTCCACCTTCTAATATTTTTAATTCTTCCTTAATCTCATTTATCAAAGAAATATAGTTTAATCTATACAGTTGTTTATATGAGATAGCAAGTTTTATTCCTAGATATTTTAAATCTTTTTCTCTCCATGTAAAGGGGAACTCTTTTTGTAGCTTTTCCTTTTCACT